CAAAGGCCATCTTCGGTGTGTTGTCAGTTATTTAGAATTTTTTTGCATAGGGGGGAAAAAAAAAAAAAAAACCCCGTGCAGCAACGGACCTGCTCATGCAAGCGCATGAGTTTAAACAACGGTAGGCAGAAGGTCCAAGGGGTCACTGTTGCACTGCAGGAACAGATGGTTGAGCTGTGAAGCGCATTCTGAGAGATGTGTGGAGAAGTAGTTCCAAAAGTGAATGGTTTACATTTTGGCTTTTTTATTTTATTTTTTAAATAAAAGGTTTTGCCTTGTGAGAGGTGTGAAGTGTTTGATATGATGGAGGTATTATTTGTGCACTGGTTGTGAAGATCTAAAATGGTTAATTCCTCCAAAATTAAGTTTACGCATCAGATTGGCTTACGGTCCAAGTGCGCCCACTGTTTTTGGGAGCATCTATTTGTTTTTAAACAGATCGGCGCGCAGGTAAGCGTAGAGAAGCGTTTGGGTCGTAGTGTTCCAGGCAGCGGCGGTAGTGGAACCGACGGACATGGGCGGCTTGAGCCTTTTCTGCACTCTGGAACGAATGCCTAAGGGTCATCTGTGCGACTTGACCCATTAGTCCAAGTACCCTTTTCTTGATCAACAAGCAGCACTGGCAGGAACAAAGGCCTCCACTTTGTGGGAGGTCCAAACTCTGGGTTTCCCCTCATAACTGCCACCCGCCCCTGGATTTTGTGCGTAGTATTTAACTGAAGTGCCAGCTTCCTCTTTAGTTCCCGTTGTGTAAAATGTCAGCCCGTGTTTTCCTTGGCCCATTCTGTTTGATGTGGGGGAAAAAATGTTTTTGTTTGTGAAGAGTTTCCAGAACCAGATGTGGTTTGTAGCACCAATGGAATTTGTCATGCTTTGAGTGTAATAAAAGTTGATATTGGAAATGAGCAGAATCTGTGATGTCTTTTCTTAAATGGGTTTGGTGCTATTTTTGTGGAAGGCAGCACTTTTGTGTGAATGTAGCAGAAATCCAGTTGTGTGTGAAACCTAAGAAAAGCTGTCACATTTGTGGTATCAAATGTGACGTTCAGTGCGAGCGCTTCCAAAATGTCCTTAATCAGCATTGAGTGGTTTGAAGCCAGTGTCAGTTTAACGGTGAAGCTGATGGGTGATTGTTGCACTGCAGCGTCTCAGTGGGCTGGCTGCACGTGCACTTGGAAGAGGCGTTTGTGGTGAAGTGTTCCCAAAGGGCCTTTGTTTTGAAATCCAATAGGGCAGATTGAAAAGCCAAGTGTGGCGTTGAGTGAAACGGTTTGTTTTTGGAGCTGGTTTGACCTCCTGAGCTGTGCTGATTTAAAGCGGTTCACTCGGCAACTTGAATGTGTTGGACCATGTTGTACTTGTGTAAAGAACTTGAGAGGATGCTGGAGCTTTTTTGGTTGGTTGTTTTTAAGAAATTGTTTGATGGGAAACGTGGTTTCTTTAGTGTTTGCGTTCCACACGTCAGAAGTTGGTGGTTACGTTAAGTGTTGCTGGTTCGAGATGCTTCGGGTGTAGGTTTTTTTTTGGGAACGCATCTGTTCTGAGTGGTTGCGTGTCACACACTGTGGATCCATTTGGCCCATAGGGTTTTTAATTGCACTTGGGCCTCACCGATCAGCGTGCAGGTAAGTGTTATTAGAATATACTAAGTGTTTTGGGCTAGAATGGCAGAAAGCAGGGTGGAGGTGTGTTTTTGTTGAGAGCAGTGAGGCTGTTGTGCATTTAAGCTGGAAGGATTGCCCAAGGGTCAGACGTACATGATGTAAATCCCACTCTGTTTACATTGACGTGCAGAGAAAAGGGGTTTATATCATGGACTTGTGACTCTTTGGCAATCTTTCCAGCTTAAATGCACAACAGCCTCACTGCTCTCAACAAAAACACACCTCCACCCTGCTTTCTGCCATTCTAGCCCAAAACACTTAGTATATTCTAATAACTGCCTTCTCCCTCTGACCTGTGGGGGTTTTTTTTTCTTTTTAAATAATAGCATTAAGGTTATCCATATGTTTTTATATGGGGCTGTTTTTATTTCCTATTATAGATAATAAGTATTTTGGCCCTTTTTTGCAACTTTCGGCAACAGGCCGGCCGATTTAGTCGTTGTGCTCTATAACCCCCTACCTGCACGCCCCCCAACCTCGGGGAGGCAGAGAAACCCCCCCCGAGCTTCGGCACTGGTGACGCTCCGGGATTCGAACCCGAGTCTTCACGCCCTTGTTGGCTTCCATCCGCCCACTGTGCCGGCGCGCCACCAGTGCTTTCACACTAGTATATGTTCGGAAGTTGTATTTATCTACAACTTTGCCCCCTGGAGGCTAAAAAAAAATAACGCAGAGTCAAAGCTCAGATAGTTCAAGTGCACCTGTTCAGAGGCTGTGGCTCAGAGGCAAGGCAGGAGGCTGGAGAGCGGGAGGTCGTGGGATCGAATCCACTGTGATTCCAGTGGGTTTAAATCATACCTTCCCTCTGAGCCACGGCTGCTCACCAAAACAGGTGCGCTGGAACTATATGAGCTTCCGCTCTGCTCGCTGGAGCTCAATCTTTTTCCAAACATTCTCTGGATTGTGTTTAATAACCTCACCTTGCATCTTACCTGCCACAATCTTCAGATACGTTACCGTGCACTTTGGGATGGACATCCGTCATCTGTTGCCACAGTACCGGACGACTTCCGGGAAACCTGCGCGCTACGCAACCTGCGTTTCGACCCCAGATGCACACGCTTTAAACTTTTACACAACTCTAACTTCACCACATACTTCCTGGATGAACGTTTACAGTTGTCAATTCCACATCCAGACGCTGCTCTCTGGTGATGCGCTTGACGCCGCCGAGTACCGCTCCAAACTTAAAGCCCTCCTCGCTGACGAGCGAGGCACGTCTCGTCCGGGACCTCGCTCGCCACCGACCCTGAGCTATACTTTGTCTAACCCGGACGCGGCAAAGGCCCGAAGACTTCTCTGGGGCTGAACCCATCCGCTCCTTATGGGTTTCTTCATGCCCATCTATCCTCTCTCTCGCCAAACGGAATACTAGCTGACATTTCTTCAACTCTGCAATGGGAACGTCCTGTCGCAATGCTAGTCGAGTGAAATGGGACGTATGGTTTCTAAATTACCGCAATTATCATTTCGATATCCGCGTCGACGACGTCGGCCCGTCTACGGACTTTTGGATGTCGCCGGCGTAAAGCTATTCCTACGCACTCCGAAGGACGTAGCCTGGACCTAGTCGGCTGCTCTGGTGTCACCCCTCGACGTTACAGCTGAAACTCTTCAAAACTGACCTCTCCCTCATTTATAGTCACATTTCCTCTCCGTCTTTAAAACACAGCACCTCATTCGATTCCAGATTTTCAACATTAACCCTGGCACTCCAGCCTCTCCCATCTGCTCCTTCTGTCTCCCCAATATCCGCGATCTACCCGCCCCTGATTATCTGGTTTCTCGTTACATTAATCGTCTCCGTAATATCCTCGACTCTCTCGCTTGCTTAAAAACAACGACAAAACATCTATGTCTCAAAGCCAAAGGCTTGACGGAAAAACTGATTTCGCTATCTGCAAAGACGTGTACGATGACCGCGTCGAACGTTAGGACTCTCTTGCTAGTACCGAGACCCGCTACCAGTCTAATCCCTGCCAACAAGCCAAACTCCAACTCACTGTTATCCCTACTAGAACAACATCACCCAATCCCGGGACGCTCTGCCCCCGCCGTCCTTGTCCTCGACCCGAGTGGCCGCTCCACCCTCGACGGGCCGTCTTCCGTTAGTGTCACCCGCGCTTCTTCAAACTGCTTTACATCTTCCCTCTCTAGCCTCGCTCGCTTCATACAGCTTAGGTCCTTCGAGTCACATCGAGGGGCCCCTCCTCTTTGTCACCTACCTCCTTCCCCGTGGCTGCGTCGTCGGCAAATTTCTGATTCCTTTCCGTTGCTTTGCCCATAACGCCCAGCTCTACCTCGCTATTAAACCCTCGTCCGCGCTTCTGCCCGCCTCCCTCGCCGATTGCATATTTAAACAAAACTTCCTTCAACAAAACACCACCCAGGTTCTCAGTGGCACCGAATCACCTTATCCAAAACCGTCAGCTTTTCTCACACAATTTCACCTAAGAATCTGGGCGTCGTCCTGGATGGTACGCTGTCCTTTCCCATCCCGCGTCGATAAAATTAACGGCCGTGCCTACCGAACGTCGACCGCCTCCACACCTCCCTTACCCCATATCCCCCACGCTGCCGCCCGTGTCCGCAACCTCGTCGCTTCCCCTCTGAATTATTGCGCTCCTCTCTTCTTCCGTCTCCCTCGCAAATCCCTCCGTAAACTTCGACCTGTCTGCGATTCAACTGCCCCCGTTGCAACTCCGGCCAAGTCCGCTACCCAAAAGACCCTCCCTCGCCCCCGCTCGAGTGCGCAACTGCTGACCCGCATCCTTGCTCTGTTCCTGGCACCTTGCAAAATTCCACTCCCGACATCGCCGCCTACGACGCCGCTTGCGCCCTTGGCTACCCTTCGGTGCAATATGCCACAAAAACATTCAACAAAAGGTTCCGCGTTCAGCTAATTCGATGCTACAGGAATATAACGCCATCTACATCTTTACAACTACAGATACTCTGGAAGTGTCCATCCATCCAGATATACCTATAGACATACACGTACCTCCGTACCGATATTGCTACGTACGCACGGCCGTACGTACCTACGCGCACACGGCCGTATACGTACCCCTGTTTCTTCAGACGACCTTTAGCCGCAAAACTCCGCCTTGTCGCTAATATATTCAACGGTCACCTAGGGGCCCCTCCGTGTCTCATCCTCTGATCTTTTCGCACCGACCTTCTGTTCCGTTTTGCGTCGTTCCAGTACTTTTGCCTGGCGCTACGCAAAAGTCGCTGGGGGACAAAACATCATTTAGTTGCACGTTTCTCTTCAAACTTGTCTTGCCAAAAGGATCCCAAACTCACATTTGGATTTCTAAAGGAAAAAAATAAAACACGCATCAGCAACGCACGACAAAAACGCAAGTCGTCCTTGTAGAATTATTTAATCTCTATACATATTTGCCTGCTGCCACATTACACCTCGGTTTCCACACGACAGACAGATGCGCCATTTTCGTCAGGTCGCAAGGAAATAAAAAGTCATCAAAATTATACAAAATCTTTAGCCGCACAATCACATACAAACTTCTACAGATTTAATACAACAGTGGAACAGGACACTTAAACCGTTTCTGTACAAATAGATTCACGCTTTTTTGCCCCCCGCACATGTCAGATAGTCTATCGTATACTGAGCTTTTTGGCCCCTGTCACGCACAGTAAAGACTAAACGTTTCCAAAACGGAGGACGCCCGTTCCAAATTCAACTGTAATCGGATGTTTTTTTTATTGATTTTTTTTAACTTCGATTAAAGTTAATTTCCTTTGATTTACCGTTAAATGATTGGAGTGGATGGGCTCTCCTCGCGGGATCCTCGGCCTCAATCGCATCCCTTCCGTTCTGATGATGCTGGGAGACAATACTTATGTCATCGAGCCAACAAAGTGCACACTTTGACTGCAGAAACAAATAAAACTTGGTTGACATCGACATCCGCTCCGACAAACAATGAATTAGGGCCTTTTTTCTTTTTTTGCCTCCCTCCACCTCAAACTAAATACCTTTTGACTAAGCCTGGATTTGCGCTTTTACACCCACGGCACAAATGCTGAAAAAACTCATTGATGCTATTAGAATGCTAGTTTGATCCTTTGCGACGTGACCGTTTGCGACCCGGCAACTTAAAGCGCGCCTGGATGGAGACTTGTTTGCATTTTAACATTAACATCCACTTTTTTGGGTCTTTTCTTCAAGCCATGCATTTTTTATCACATCCATTTTTTCATTATTTCAAGCTTGTTCCTAACACTCTTTTCTAACATTTTCAAAAGGCAGCTCAAGATAAACGCTGTGAAACATAGTCACAATTTAATAAATGCTTCATCTAAACAGGATTTTGGACATTGCTTTTTTCACATTTGCTTTTTTGGGGCCAAAGTCAGCCTTTGAGTTCAGATTGGATTTCGCTAAACTTTGATCCGTCGCTGAGCTCAAACGGTGATCGAATCGTCACGTCGAGGGGCCGCAATTAAGCCGCGGACGCTTAAGCGCTAGTCCCGCTTCTCGTTCGCACGCACAAAGTGACCCCAATTACAACTCCCTGTTAGGCGTCCCTTTTTCAGAACGCACTTTAAATGACACCCGTGGAACCATATTTGCCGACTCAAACAAAAGGAGAGGGGGTACAAAACGTGCCCCCAAAAGATGGAACTCAAAAACGAGCTTAAGCTTCCCTTTCTTGTCGATGAGCCCGACTACTCAAACGTCACCCCCCCCCCTACCTCAAAAAGTGCCGTCGTCAGTTCGCCCGATAGCGGCTCTGCTTTACTTACTCGCAGGCTTAGTCAAAAGGTGCGCGGAGCAAACCCGCACCTGGTCGTTTAGCGCGCTTTCCCAACAGATGCTCGCACGCTCGCGACCTGACTATTTGGTATCTACACCCAAGAGTCGGGGGAGCCCGTGAACTTGTTGGCCCTGTTTGAAGGCCTCCGTGTAGTCGAGTAAAAGTCCACGTAGTTGGTGTTGCCTTTGAATCGGAGCGTCTGGCCGGCGTAGCCCTCGGGGGGCGACGGGCTCGGGTGAAAGGGCTCGTCGTCGTACTGATCCTCGCCGTAGCCTTGTGGGGACGCCAGGTACATTCGATAGCTGTTGTAGTTCTTCCTGTCGGGCTCGTCGTAAAAGGGCTCCGTGTGCTGGGAGAGAAAGGACGGTGGGTCAAAATTCGATTGTTCCTTCGTCTTTATGGAATCCCGACAAGTACGTTTCAAATGAGGACGTTCAAAAGACAATCAAAAAACTACTGTAAACAAAACGTGACTATTAGAAACCCACACGTAAGACAACAGTACATTTGATCCGTGGAGATTTTTACTAGTATTGATTCATTCTTATTAGACTGTCTCCCTCAGGTATAGAATACTATAGTAATATCCAATCACAGTCCAGGCATATTCAAACTTATTTTAATAGCGGGCTATTGCCACATCGTCATTTTACCAATTTCACAAATACCGTGTCTCTTACAACTTAACCGTAACCCCTACAAAAGTAGTGCCGTATTGTTGGGGAATCCTTAAAAGCCTGTTATCGAGAACAAATCCTTTCATGCGACGCTGGTAAAAGGAAAAGAGAAATTAAACTTAACGCAAGATGAACAAAGGCAATAAAACGAATTGACCCAGCTAATTCTAGGGCTCCCTCTGAATGACACAGACAATAACTACAAGTGACCACCCCCCCGTTGTTGTCTAAATCAATGAACATGCAATCTTTATTTAAGTATAAGACATTAAATGTCAATCCAGTCAGATGACAAGGTAGTAAAGAGCAAAGAATTTTGGACCCAAATTTTAGCCACTTTTTCAGCCATTTACAACTAAAAGAGAGCCCGGCCCATTTGGTGAAAACAGAACAAACAATTCCTAAAAGTGATAACGTTCTCTTCATTGTTGCTCAGGAAACTGATCTTATTTGAATGGAGAAAGACAGCGCCGCCGACTCGCAAATGATGGGCACAAGAGGTGACGGCACACCTTAAATTAACCTTAAACATCTTAGATTTCCTACCATATTCAAAGTTTTGCCAGCCTTTTATCTCCTATTTTCAACACAAGTTTGCAGAATTAGACTTTGAATGCTACCATCATAGTTTGATTGCAATGTCTGAGGTTTCAATAGGAAAATCAACAAAAACCCTGATTGTCGGCACAGGAGAATCCATCCTATGTTTTGAGCAGACAATGCAATGGTCTTACCTGCAATCGTCTCAAATCCTCTCCGGATTGGGACGAGTAGGTCCCGATGAAGTATGGGCTTTTCTTCTCGGACCCTGAAACGGCAAACCAAAACAAGTGCAAACAATTTGAGGAATTAGTGGACAAACCCATGTGCCCCAGAGAGCCCAAATGCAGACCTGTGTACTGCCGTTTGTGTAAACTGTCTCCGTAATAAGTGTTCAGTTGCATAGATGATTGTGCCCTCTGGTAGTTGGAGCTGTGTCGTCTAATCCCCAGCATCGCGGGGGAGGATGTTGCGCTGCCGCCTGGAGAAAGAAAAAACAAAACTTCAATCATTCTTTTTTTCTCTTTAAAAAGGTATCCGTTAAGTGCCACTTTGTCCTCCCACCTGACTGGATGACGGGAGACATCTGCAGTGGGCTGGTGGGCAGGGTGGGCTGAGAGCGGTACCGGTCGCGCTCCAGAGTGGAAATGGGGGTGACAAAGTGGGTGTAGTTCCATCCGTCCTGTTCACACACCACATGAATGCAGCTCAATGCTCTGTTTGCAGTAAGAGGTGGGGGCGTTCATATCCAGCTGTGGGTTCACACTGACCTGTTTGTACAGACTCCGTAGCTCTCTGTACTGCCACAGCGTGTTCAGCACCTGAGCCGCCGCCTTCACCACTTTCATCGAGTACCTGGAACATGTTGCGCACGTCAATCTGGTGTTAAATAATGACTACACAAAAAATTAAATTAAGCTAGTGTGCAAAAATAGCCTCTGTTTTCTACCCTTTTCCTCTGCCTTTGCTGATGTCCACCAGCTTCTCGATGCCGCCGCTGTCGGCTAAAGCTTTGGCGTTCTCCATGTTGCGGCTGGTCACCTCGTGCAGCGTGCAGCACACCGACGCCACCGTGTCGTCCGACAGCACGGAGGGGTTGCTGCCGGGCAGCCGGTTCACCAGATCCCGCATGGCGTACTTTCCTGCGGGGGCGCAGGCACAAAAAAACGTCAGCCGTGGCCTCTAATTTGCTGACTTCCAGTTAGAAATCGCCTACAAATTGGATTTTATACAACTCATCTATGCATCTTAAAAGTGTTTGTGGTTTGTTTTTTTGGAAAGGGGGTGGAGGGGTGGGGGGGGTTCCCTTTTTTCAGTTCTCTTTCATAGAGACCAGACCAGCTGACCTTCTTCAATCGTGTTACCTCCCTTGCTAGATCTTGTCGCTTCACACTACGCCCGCCATACATAACCCCGGCATGCTACCCAGCTCCTGGCGTAGTCTATGGTTATCTCCCACCTTGACTACTGACTGTTCTCCCGGCCTGTATGGCAGGCTTTCCCAAAATTTCTACTGGCCCGAATAGGGTTGTCACGATACTAAAATTTTCAACTCGATACCGATACTCAGGAAAATACTCGATACTCGATACCATTTTCGATACCACAAGGATAAAAACAAAGACCCCAAAATTTAACTGAATTTTGACAGGTTAGTGTCTTTCATTTGAAACTGACCTGTTACTGATGTTATCGTGGCTGGTGGCCCGAATTAATTACCCTAATCCTGACCCTAACCCTCCACCCTTCGTAATTGTGAGAAACAATTTTGGGGTTAAACTTGTTTGGACTTATTCTACAAACCTATTTAACATCCACCATTTTAACATAATATTATGGATAGAGTTTAATTAAGTGTTTGAAAGATTAATTTCACTATTTTTAAATTAATGTCTACATTGCCATGAGGCATTACTGTTTTCTTGCCTGGGATTTCCCTTTTGGTGACGTAATCAAAATGGCCGATTTGGATGTGGGCTGAGACGGATATGTACTTGATTAATGGTAGCATGTTATTATTAGCCATTAGCCGCAGCTAGCAGTTCAAGGCTAACGTCACGTTAATGATCATAAACAACGTAAATCTATGGCAGGAGGGGATGGGACCCTCCTCCTATCCAAAGGGCCGACATAGCTTAACTTGTCATTCAAAAACCTCTTCTCGCTTCTCACGGAGGGATCCTAAACTCTCCTACTGTGTGCCGAGCTTAACGGTTCACAGACTTGGGCAAACGACTCAGCCGCCGGCCGCTCCTTTCCCAGATAGAAACAGTGGCAATACTAACAAAGCTTCAGAGAGTAGCGATACTCTGTGGGTGTTGAGAACGATAGGAGGGCTGCAGGCTCAAATTCTATGTTGCTCCACCACTTTTCAAGGAAATAATATACTCTCGTGCTCAAGGCGAGTCCACCAGTATTCTTCTGGAAGACATTTCCTCGGAGGAAGAAGCAAGCTTTAACCGTAGTCCCGCCCAAAGAATACCACACCCAAAAAGGGCAGAGACCCTTAACCGCTTTTTAAGAAAATACTAATTCAGGATGTTGACGCACGCACGTCTCTGCTGTCGTTCCTGCCCACGAGGGACTGGTTATCAATAGGGACATCCACATATACATCTAGCACAGTTTAGCTGGGGAAGCCCTGTCAAACAATGCCAGAGACTGTTGGGTATGATGGCTATACCTCTCCACTAGCTGTATATCAGAGGCATTCAGTGCTGGGTAACTTCTCTGGGTGGGTGAGGCCCCCTTCTCTCAAATTTATTTATGTTTTTTTTTTGTCGTTTATGGTCATCAACAAGACGTTAGCCTTGAACTGCTAGCTTCGGCTAATGGCTAATAATAACGTGCTACCATTAATAAAGTACATATCTAACTCCGCCCACATCCAGGTCACCAATCCCAGGCAAGAAAATAGTAATGCCTCATGGCAATATAGACATTAATTTAAAAATAGTGAAATTAATCTTTCAAACACTGAATTAAACTCTATCCGTAATATTATGTTAAAATAGTGTAATGTTAAATAGGTTTGTAGAATAAGTCCAAACAAGTTTAACCAACAAATATTTATTTCTCACAATTATGAAGGCTGTAGGGTTAGGGTCAGGATTAGGGTTAGTAATGCGGGCCACCAGTCACAATAACATTAGTAACAGCTCAGTTTGAAATGAAAGACACTAACCCGTCAAAATTCAGTTAAATTTTGGGGTCTTTGTTTTTATCCTTGTGGTATTGAAAATGGTATCAAGTTTCGAGTATTTTCCTGAGTATCGGTATCGAGTGGAAAATTTTAGTATCGTGACAACCCTACCCCATAGTGAGACATAAAATTTATGCCATTAAAGAGAACCGGGGTTCTAATCCAGAACCTAAAGTTAAAAAAATGCATGTCAATTATTTCCCCACAAGGGGGCAATGTGTGCCAATCTTTGTTAGAATGAATACACTGTTCATAGACTGATTTAAGAACCCGTCTTGATCTTTCTATTGATTCAAATGTAAAGGATGCTAACACAAAAAGTTAACTTCCCCAGAGTTTTACTAGTGCGCCTTGTGTGTTCTGTGTGTAAGATGTGCCGCTCTGATCGTGTGTGCTTCCACCTATCAGCTCCTTGTTGCGCCCGTCCAGCGCCATGTTTCGGAGGGCGGTGGCGACGGAGCAGACGACCCGGTCGTTGTCCATCCGCAGCAGCTCCACCAGGATGGGCAGACCTTTCTCTTTTCGCACCGCCGCTCGGATGTAGGCCGAGAACTGCGTACGGGAGGGGAAAAAATAAACTAAATCAATTCTATGTACATTTAGTTTTTTAGCATTGAATTATTTTTGGAATAGTCCATGTTTTCGCTAATTAGCTTCAAGGTATGGGGACTTTGAGGGAAAAAAACCAACAGGACATCTTCTGCTTTGTTTGGTTTCCGTAACTACGTTCTTCAAGTCTCTGTAATTTCGCATCTAAACCTCCTACCTTCCAGTTTCCGGCAGAGAGGTTCTGCAGGGAGCCGGCCGCGCCCTCCAGCGTGGCGGGGTTGGAGCTTTCAGCCAGCAGGTTGAGGTACGGCTTCACCACCATCGGGTGCCACAGCAGCTCCGCTCCTCTCAGACACTGGGAGAAACCCGGGACTGCCCCCATGCCGTCCCACTGCACACAGCACAGCACAGGTGGAGCGGCTAAACTCATCACATACATGAAAAGAACTTTTAGGACGTATAGTTTGGCCTAAAAGCTGCCTTCAAACGCCATATTTGTCACATCGTTCCCAATACATTTCATGGCATACTTAAAAGGTTTGCCGCTTTTGAGAGTCACCTTGAGGTCATTTTAAAACTGGGTTACTTTGGGTATTGCACGTCATTTGTTCCAGATCTCTTAACATTTTCATTCATTTCCAGACATATTTCCATTTTATTTCTCTTTCAAATTCTGCCATGTCTTGATGTGCAAATCTTAGTCTCACTGTGTCTTTTTGTGGCCACTCGAAATCTTAAGCGTGGTCTGTGTTCTGGGATCTGCACCAATGTGCCATCGTATTAGGTTTACTTTCGATTCTGTGTTTCTCTTAGAAAAATCTAACAAGATTTAGCCTCTGGGACGGTGCGTGTTGGGCCGGATGAGTCGTCCGCGCCCCTCTCCGCGCATCCCTCCTTTCCGTTTGCGTACCTTGCCCTCGGGCCAACCGCCCCTCTTCCGGCCACGCCTCCTTTTCCCCCAGCAGAGGTAGTCCAGTTCCTTGGCCGGGGAGGAGAAGCCCAGCAGGGTGTCCAGCTCCTGGTTGCCCAGGAGACGAGAAGAGGGCATCTCCACCTCCAGCCGGTACGAGAGGTTTCTCAGAGTGCAGACGCTGTTCTCCACAATCTGACAGACAAATACAGACTGTCTCAGCTCATTGCATCAAGACCACAGCTGCAAGAAAACAATGTTTTAATCTCACTATACCATATATGCAACCGCTGTAACCGTCAAAGAGGTTTTAGACGGCAAAACCGCAAAGTGTCAAACATCACCGCACGGCAGGAATTTTGTCCCGTGGATATTGTTGCTATGGTGACTAACCCTAACCCTTCATCGTTGGCCATGAAGATGACATATAACTAACTAAATCAGGTATCAAATCAAGAGATTTGTACTTTTATTTTTCCTGACGCAGCCACCATTGTTTTTTAAACTGGAGTGTAGGTTTTTTCCAATTGTTTGGAACCAACCAATAAGTCGAAAACAACACTGACTGCACAAAGAATTCTCATATATATTGTATGAGAGTAGGTGGAATTGTGTCACCTGTCAAAAATCTTTCTGTACGTTGGATGTGCAGCTCATCCTGCTTTTGGATTCAAGTAAAATTGGTTTTATTCAACAAGATGGACAACAAAGGGCGTGAGGAAAAGGTCCAAGATTAGAATTTACAGTCACTGACTTTCAGGTTCTCATTGGTCATTTCAATCAAGTAATGTGGGCCTCAAGCCGCTACGTTCAATTGAACTCAAATGACAAACTGGATTCAATTCTTTAAAAATATAGAACCAAACCCATCCAAAACTAGGATTTAAAAGAGCTAGGAATCTAAACGTTGAGGGAAAGTAAAACATGTAGGGGAAAAAAATATATATCATCCACTACTAATTACTATCTACTGCCGTTACTAGTTCTCTGTTATAATCACACCATCTGCATCTTATGAGTCTCCATCGTGTAGTGACGATGGAAGAAGCTATGTTGGGGTCAGACTCCTATAGAGCACGCCCCCTCGGGAACGGTGGACGTGACGAGCAGAGTGCTGCGCGTGCGGGGTACCTTGCTGTCGTAGTCGGACGTGTTGACGCAGGCTTTGAGGACGTGCAGCAGCGAGTCCACCAGGCCCTCGCAGCAGCGCAGCTGGCTCCTCGCCTCCTCCCCCGCCGAGCTCAGGTTCCTCGCGCGCGCAGAACAGAACACAAACACGCACGTTATTCTCTTGGACGTGCAGTGTGCGGATTCCCCCACAGGGTGGCTGAAAAAACTGCCCGGATACAGCCGAGGAGGAAAGCGACCCTCCAATAGGAGCCGGCGCCAGGACGCTGCACAACGGCACGCGGCTCCCGCAATGCATTTCCATACCGTCAATCTGCAGCTTCACGTCAGTGCGAGGGAAGGGAAAGGCCAGAGGCCTCTGTGCATGCGGTTTGCATGCAGCTCGGAGCAGCTAAAGTTGATGCATTTGGCTGTCAGTTGCAGACCTACTTCAGGGAGTGTGTGTGTGCGTGTGTTGTCACATCTCTGTTCACTCAAAGCAGTTCCTACTCCCTTGGATAATAAAAAACAAGGCGTTTATTTTCATAAATGGACGCCTTGTTTCTCATTTAGAAGTGAGCAAAATACAATTTCCCACAATGACTTTTGGGGAACGCACTCAAGTTTTATTGGTCTGCCGTCTCTTTTTCGAGATTTTACTGCTGCGTAAAATCTGTTACAGGGACCCCCTCCTGATGGATTATACGTTTCTGATTATGGGTGGCGGTTTTATGGAATCGTTAAGATGAGAAACGCACAATACATTTTTTCTTTTTAATCTAAAAGTCATGCACCCCTATAAAAAACTGAAATTGGTTTAATGAGCAAACGGCACAGCTGGCAGCTCAGGGGGCGTTTGGGGCATTTTTTTTGGCAGAAAGCCGTTTTCAGAGCAAATGAAGTTTATCGGCCTTGAGAAACGTTTTGAAACGGCAGGGCCTTAAAAAGGGTCCGCGCCGTGACAAACGCGGCCGATGAAAGCAGCTGGAACTTGCGTGGAGGGGTGCGTTCGATTGGCCGCTCACCTCAGGCAGCCGGTGGTGTTGCGCAGCAGCAGAGAGGACTGGAACTTGACTTTGTGCTCGTCGCGGTGAGAGACGCTGCTCCAGCCAGAGTGGGGGATGACCACCGTGTTGGTCACGGTCGTGAGGGCGTCGCGTATGATGGTCATCTTCACTGCGTCGCAAGAGGACAAGTTCCACAGGACGCCTGTGGGTCAGAAGGCAAATAACAAAGTTTTTAGGACCTTTTGGTACCAGAGACTGTTACATTTAGTATCTCTTCATGGTCAGACGTGTCAAAGTGAAAAAAACAACAAAAAAAATACTACCAAAGACACACAGAACATAAAATTAAAAAAATCACATGCATGTCACATAAAGAGACACTCCAGTTTACAAAGCCACTCAGACCAAAGGAGATCTGCCGCCTTCCCTTCCCCTGCTATCAATATTAAGACTTGGAAAAAGAAAATAAACGTCAGCTTTGAAAACATGTCAGAGATCATTAAGATTAATTATTTTGTGAATCTGACATGAAAACCTAAAGCTGCTATCAGAAAGGGCTCCATTTAATGACTCAAAGCTGAAATAAATACATATACAACAGTTCTCAAATCTATTACGCTCTGCATAGGGTTTTCTGCCCAAAAATGAACCGACAGTGCCATGTCCGATTGCTTTTGCATTCTCTAGCATGACCTAAAAATTTACATTTTAATAGCCAGCCAATAGGAGCCCACCCAAGCAGCTGAGGTACAGGCTCAAACGTATGGAACCGACACAGAAACAGTCAGTCACTAGAGGTCATTTTCACTGTAAAGGTCAGCGGTGCGCGTTAGTCTGCTACTCTCTCACTCAGCCCAGAGATAAGACGAGAGGACAGAAGGAATGAGGCTGTCCGTCACGTTCCCTTGGCAACGGCAGGCAAAGAGCAGCTTTGGTTATGGAAAACGCTCCAGCTCTGTCAGTTCTGACGTTTTGAGCTTGAAAAAAGTCAGACAATTATTTATTTATTTTTTAAAGCTGTGTATGATGGATCTGAAATAATTGTGGATCTGCACTGGTTAACTCAAACCAGTCCAAACATCAGCCCGACTAAAATGCTTTGGCTGGACCCAAAGAGAGCCGTGTAGACTCCCATTTTTTAACATAACTAGTCAGTCATGCATCCATTTACTTAATTTGAAGACCAGCCTAACTAAATGTCATGCAAAAACCTAAGAACTTTGTACAGTATGGTAGATTTGTTGGAACAACAAATGAGAAAATAACCCATTTGATTTCATAATTCACCCATACTGGGTAATGCAAACTGCCCATTTCCTCTGCAGCGGGTCATATGAGACACCCGGGTTTCATTCTCCAAACGTAAGCAGAGAAAGTTAAAGAACAACACAGGCCAAAATACAGCTAGCAGATTCAATCCCCAACTTCCTTTGGATTTCTGGCTCTGCTGGAACCACAGTCAAACGGCGTGTGCGGCGTGGCCGCAGAGCCGACGGCGTCGTCCCGTTTCCGACCCACATTATCTGAACATCTGTCCCGACAACTGTGCCCAGCTTTGCTCTGTCAACATTGTGCGCCGAGGGTTTAAGCCGCTCTCGCCTCCCACAGAACAGCCGATGCGCAGATTAATGCGCCGCCGGCCAGTCGGACGGTGCCGCAGAGTGACGGCCGGCCAGCGGGCCGGCGCCCACACACCCACGCGGCGCTGTGGGATTTTACCGCGTCGCACTCGCATTTGACAGATTCATCTAAATGTGGAACTTCTTTTGACTGAAATTTACTGTGAAATGACCACACCGGACCTGAGGGGATCCATCCATGACTGACTTATCTAGTTCAAATTCAACATTACACACTCAGGCAGTCTAGATTTTATGCTAGAGATAAAAAGATGAATAGTTGCTCCGAGCTGAATTATAGTTTTCTATAGTGGCACACTTTGTATAAATGGACGGCCCAAAAAGCCCAGTCGGTTCTGATTGGTCAGCTCCAGTGGCATTACAGGAACTACCCGCCACTCAACCATTTGACAAAGTGTTTCACTGGACCCAAAAATGAAGAGATACCAACAAGGACAGAATTACCTACAAGCTCCCAAATGTGTCAGGCATTTTTTTACTTTTAACTCGTATAAAAGTCAACTTTCGGCATCAGATTTATTATTAGGGACCACGATAATACTGACTTTCTTTGTATCCTTGTGGATAAAAGTAATAAAACAACACATTTGTCTTTTGAAGATCAAAATGCTCTGGGTCACTTAAAATCTTTACATTTGCTGAATCATGACAAAAAGTAGTAAAGCCATCTAAAAACATTGTGCCAAACAACTCAAGTCACTAAAATGGACAAAAAAAAACAAGTCAAGGACAACATGTCTTTAAAAAGCAGCTGAAGTGGTAATTCAGAAAAAAGACGTAGCTGGAACCAAAAACAGACCTTGTGGAACATTGGGGGATAAATTATCCACAAGAAGAACTGAAGGGACCTTTTCCTGAGGAATTGGTTTAAACCCTGGGAACATTGGATATTATACAGCACAAGATGCATCTGGAAAGATGCCAGTCAGTGATACGTTTATAGCGTGCTGGCACTGACCATAGCCTGCTGATAAATTGTGTCACTGCAATCTTTTCCAGGTCAGATGTGGCTCAAAGTGGTTTCCGCATCTTTTTTCCTTTTAAACGAGCCAGAGCAAAATGTGTTTGAGCTTTCCGTGATACGAGCTGAATCTTTTAGATTGCTACATTTCCCATTCAGATTTTTTCCATTTAAAAACCCTACATCGGATTTAAGAACAACAATTCAATCCTGTGGGAAATACCGATTTCATTTTATTCAATAAATATTCTAAAACTCACAGAGATTTGCAACATAACTAAAAACAACAATGCAGCGAGGCCAACAACATCGTACCAGCAGCTGAGAAACCTGATCCGACAGTTTACGACAGAGTTCTCGCTCAGAACGTACCTGTGACCAACTCGCGAACTTCGTTGTCCGTGGTTTTCCTGAGGAGGCGCAGCAGAGCGGGCACGCCGCCGCAGTTCCTCAGCGCCACCTTGTTGCTGTCGGTGGCTTTGCCGTACACCAGGTTCCTCAGGGCCCCGCAGGCGCTCTTCTGAACTTCGGCCACCTTGTTGTCCAGCAGGTCCACCAGGTGCTGGATCCCTCCCAGGTGACACACCTGCAGACCGGGAAGCAGTTAGCCCGACCATTTACACCCACTTCTGAAGCCGTTTGGTCGCTTTTAATCTTAAAAAACTAAACTTAAAAGCGGCAAGTCGTAATTCTTTTTTTTACACCCTGTCAATTTCGCACGATTCTCAGAAAAAAAGCCAGACATTAATGATATCTAACTAACAAAGATTTAACTAACAACTAAAAGATGAAAAGCGCAAAAGCAAGCAATGATCTAATTTAGCTGTGATCTTCCAAAACTTTCTGTGATTAAAGATGTGAAAGCTCCAGTCATCTCAAAGAGAACTCCTCTCCGGCTCGCTCCCGTTTGTGCTCCGATTCTCCGCTCTTTCTGCGGAGAACCATTTGGTTCCGGTCAAACCAGCTGGCGCCGGTGACTAATTAAAAAGCTCATCACCACATAAAAAAAGAGGCAGGTGAGCTAGCGAGAAGGCGCTCTGCATCAGTGTATGTGGGGGGGGGGGGGGGGGGGGGCGTGGGTGTGGGGTGGGGGGGGGGGGGGGGGGGGGGGCGGCGTGCCTGATGCTTCAGTCGGTCTGAGCGTTGCCAGAGTTTGTTTAAGTTTTATTGGAACAGATGGGGATTTGGCTCAGAGTCTGGCTGCCTGCGTGAAAAAAAAAAGGCGCATTTCAAACTGTCAGCTGAGAAAGCATTCAGGCGTAGAAATAAAAAAAAGGGAGACCGTGTCAAGAGAAAGAGTCTATTTCCTGGTGTTTTAGAGAAAAAAATAACTTTGAGTGACACCTTTATAAAAACACAAACAGGTCAACATTTATCAGAGAAAATAAAAGTACGTTTGTCAGCAACGTGGGCCTCTTGTTTGGAGGGACTTTCTCGTGTCATTTAAAGTCGTGACGCTGCCGGCCGGTTAACGGCGAGTGGTGATGCCTCGTCTCGTTATTTTTAATCCCTTCAGCTGCCTGGTGTGCGCCGTGGCCTTACCTCCACCTTGACCCTGTTGTCTCCGTAGCACAGGTGCTGCAGGTAGGCTGCGGCGTTGGCCTGGACGGACGGAAAGTGATGCTGCAGCATGTGGATGACCTCCGGCAGCTCCGGGTCGCGCCATGCAAATTCCCTGGGAGCAAACAGACAGGCTTTGAAAACAGAGCCCTTCTTCTTAGTTTCGAGGCTTCAGATGTCCGAGAATTTAAAAGATCAAATTTAGTTATATGCTTGCGCTCCTATTTAAAAATACATATATAAAGAAATGTTTTTGTTTGTAAAACTGGATTCTAGATGGCAGCATCAGACCAAGAAAAATCCACTAATGAATCGACTGCCAGGATAGTTCACTCAGACACGGGCTTTCCAGAAGGTTCGTCCCACTGACTTTTTCCATCTCGTTCGTGGTTCTACCAGTTTCATCCCAAAACAACGACTTCCAGCCAATAAAAAAAAAAAAGTAAATCGGTGCCCAGGCAGACACACCGACAAGTCTGACGCTATCTTCTGCTGACTCAGCGGATGGGCAGCGTTTCAGGCTGGGCATTCGGGAGACAAAAATACAGTAGACCGCAAACAGCGATGTGAAAATAGAAAACTACAGGGGTTCGTTTGAATTTCTTTTTTAGACACTTTCAACTGAAATCTAACCGGGAATCAGGTCGTTTTCTACCTTAACTGAAGATAGTTTGACAAATGTCACATCATTTTGCCTTTCTTTTTGTATTACAACTACCTTAGACTGGGGAAAAGTTTTGGACAGTCTATCCCTCTTTCACAGTCCTAGATAACTGGCCTTAAACTCATTGTGCCGCTGCATAGCGAGCCTTAGCATACAGCCAGAGTCAGAACTATTTTCAGCCAACAGAAGAACACAGATTTTGGCAGATGGTGCGGCGCCCACGGAGGCCACCGGCAGACCCTGCCAAAATGCTTTGAAGAACTCCGCTAACTTCTCCAACGTGCTGGAACCACCCAAAGACGCTACGTGCAAACTAGCTAGCATCCGCCGGTCACCTGGGATCCTTGTGGATGCTCTCGATGGACGGGGTGCGGGTGACGGCCCGGTCCAGCAGGCCAGAGTGCCGGTGGGAGTAGACGGGCTCGCCGGACACCCTGAGGGGGTCCACGTAGACGGCCGCGGAGGTCAGCCCAAAGCTGTTTCTTTGGTATGGCAGCGTGCCGCAATGGCTCGTGGCTCGAGGGAGAGTCCCCATACCTGGGAGGGGACACGGCAGGAGAAAGCAGTTATCCAGTCCAAGCAGTCCATTTGTTTCCATTAAACAAATGGTTCCCATGAAACCTCTTTGGAGGGCAACAGAAAAAATAAAAATTTTAAAAAGCAGCAAAATATCTCACGGGGCAAAGCAGCTAAACGACGTTAAAACGGCTCTTTAAATCTCGCCCCATCGACCCGCTCCAAGTGTTCGGCTTCAAAAGATTCTGCCTAGAATTAGGAGGCTGTAACAAACACCAACGATTTCAGCGCAATTAAGAGCCGACCTCAGGGAGAGATAATAATGATAACAGATAAGGCGCCCGTAAGCCACTGTTTCAAATGGGATTTTTTTTAGGAAAGAAAGAACATTTACAAGACGCAGAAAGGGGCTCTGTCTCTTGTCCTGGTGACAACTACTAGATTTGAAACCCTGTCAAAACCAAGATTTAATGCCTAAACACTAGAATTGCCTCTCCTTTTGAAATAGTTTTTTTTTCCTAGTTTGCTTAGTTGCTTAATTCCAAACGCAGATTCTGCCTTAAATGCCCATTTGAAGCTCAACAGGCAGGAAAAGTTGCATAAAAACACAAAAACCACTTGCCCCGCAGATGTTTGGGGACCCACTCCCAGAGCGATGGAGGCGCAGTACCTGTGCTGCTCCTGTAGAGGGAGCCTTGGGGGTCGTGCGTGGGGCTGTGGTACAGCGGGCTTTGGAAGGAGCGTTCATCAAAAACAGGAGTCATATGGCAGTCTGGAGACAAAGCTGCCCTCAGCTCTGGATCTATCTGCGCCCCGTGACCGGCGTATGAGCTGTGCAGCCCTGCAGGTGGGCAAAAAACAGGACAAAAAAAAATAAAAAAATAATTTACAGCTCACAGACAGAATCGTCACAAAATCTCACGATAATTTTACTGCATAAATTCCAAAACTAAAGGACAAGAGCTTTGAAACTTCTTTTGTTCTGTGGTGTCAACAATGGTCAAACTGCTTTCTGTCCTTTAGAGATTGATATCTCATCTTGGATCGGCCGAGGCGTGCACGCCCAGACGCCACCATATTGGAGTTTAGAAATGGCACCAGAAGTCTTTCACAATCTGCTGCAGGCACCTTCATCAGAAAAAACAAACAGGCAGGGCAGAGGGTTTCTCCTCCAATCTCACAGCAGATAAGCTCATACAGCGCTCCAATTATTAAGAAGCTCCAGGGCAATGAGAGAGGGGGGGGGGGGCCACACTGGATCAGATCAGTCCACTTCCTCAAGCACAAGATTTGCACATAAAGCTGGGATGGATAGTTTCCTTCCACAGCTCTGTTTTTCTCCATTTAAGAAACTAAGACACAAACCACATCATTTGGAACCTTTGGGCTTTCCTCGCGGGCTCGTCCCGGACCCAAAACGGCGCAGTGATCCTCACAGTCGAGGACGTGTAAAGCTGCCAAATGCCGAGGACGGGCCAGAAGGAAAGAGGCATGTTTTCGCTGCGGCCGTGAAGCTGTTATCTAACATTGTTAATTATGTAAAAGAAGACGGCGTGGAAAAGAAAGTCAGCGCGGGCGCCAGTTCTTTTTCTGTTGGTCCTCACACATTGGGCCATACTGGCCCACTTCAAATGTTGTCTGCTTTACAAAATGACAGATTTTAGTTTGATTCAGCACAACAGCAGCCTGCAAATAAATGTATGAATGAAAACACTGATCTATCGCCACAACAGCAGAAGCAAGCTCTAGCATCATGTATAGCAACAAAAATCTATATAAAATTCTACAACGTAATGCATATGGAAGAGCAGCGGGACCCCAGTTTATCGCTTTGAAAAGAAAAAGGTCAGAACAATTACACATTTGTGGGAAAAGTCTCATTACAAACTGTATTTGGACTAAAACTTTGTGTGGAAGGAAGAGGAATACATTATATTCTTCTAATCAAATTAAAATATGAGTAGATGACTAGTTTTTAAGAATTTTTTAAAGACTCATCATACTGAGGTTGTATGACCTGGCATTTTAATCAACTTTTTTCCAAACAATTAACTAGTGTCAACAATGATGTTGCCATTTTTTCTCCAAAACCTTAACAGTTACTGGATGTACAAATGATTCAAGCAGACACCTTTTCAGCACACCCTCCAAAAGTGCCAAAGAATCCATCACCATTACGGCCCATTCCTTTTGGGTGGCCCTCCTTTTCGGTGGATTCCTTTCATCTCTTTTGCAACGCAACCTTTTTTTGGAGATGCTCCCATTTCAAAACCTTGGCTGTACAAAGAAAACAAATAATGAAAATGGATCACCGGGAGGCTCATTGTGCTGGCAGCTCCCCAGGTGTCACTTCCCAACTGCACATTACAAAAAAAATAATAAAAAGCCTAATCTTATATATCAATCTATAATCTCCCATGCATAATCTGGGATTACAGTGGATCGACAGGATGACAGAGAATAAGGACTAAGGTGCCGTATTAGGTCACTTAGCGGTACTGCTGGGGGAAAAAAAAAGAGAAAAAAAAGGCTAAAGTTTACCGACAAACGCCCTCCTGACCCGGTTTTTCACAAAGACCCGCACGGCAGCGGATAAACCGTGCAGCATCACTCATGAATGGAAGGATAAAAAAAATTTAATGAAAAAAGCACAGCCGCATAAGAAAGCCTGGACTGATAATCACAAGCTGATGCTCCATCAGGCTTTGTGATAGTACCCCCCCCCTCCCCTCCCTCCCCCTATATGGGTCAGTGGGAGCGGCTTAGCGAAGTGACAGAGGTGGAGAAGTAAATCTCTGTCATCGCCGCATCAGCAGCTCTTCCTGCCATGGCAACGGGCCGATAACCAGCCAGCCCGAAAAAGGAGACGCAAACCCCGGATCCACCGCGTTTGCCCAAGAAAGCCCTTTCAACATCATCAAACCCCCCCCGGTGACGGAGCAGAATACTCCCGGTTCAAAGCCTACGTGTCCGTTTGGTGGGAAACTTGCTCCAAAGACGCCTCAAAGGCGTCTGTAAGCCGGGCTCAGGGAAGAGCCTGGCAGCGGCGCACGCATAATCCCCTCCGGTTTCTCAGCCAGCCGCCGCTCGCCCGACCAATCAGAGAGGAGCAGAGTCAAAAGGTTGGCTCTCCCGGGACCTCAATCAGCTCCTTAACCTGACCAAGTTTTTTGCTCTGAATAAACTGACGAGCAAAATGTAAAAAAATAAATAAATGAATACAAATTCTAAGCCCAGTCCAGTCTTACAGATGCAATGGGGATATTAAAACTTGTAATTAAAAGGGATGCTTTACCCAGACGCGAGTTGGAGAAGTATTCACCGAGGTAACAGGCTAGAAAAGGCTAGAAATGAACATGGAGTGCTTCAATCCTGCAATCAGACCAAACACTGCCTTCATTTCTGCGGCCCACGCTTTGATGTCGGTACTCCACAGAGGAGACATAACAAAAATAGTTTAGCGCCCCTGAGAAAGAACAGCAAACTTTGTCATTCCATACCAAACTGGAGTTGGAGAGCAGGTGAAGGCTGAGGTGAAGGCCGGCAGGGCAGCCGGCCGTGTGTGAGCCCGTGTGTGTCCACACGGCTCGTTATGAGAAGTCAGCTCACCTGGAGGCCCAGGTGTCAGGAAGTGGAAGGGGGAGGGGAGGGGTAATGAGCAACACTGACTTTTTATCTTTCAGACACACTGTCAATACAAATTTAGGTTGTTTGTTTTTTTCCTCCTCCATAAAAAATAAAAAAAGCCAACTGATTTGTGGGTTGTTTTTTTTACATCCAAAATATCAGCCTGGTGAGGAGCCTCTTCTGCCTGTATGGGCACATTTCTTCATATCACATGATAATTATAAGGGTGTCTTGTTTGTGTGTTCAATGCCTAAAGTCAACTGTTTTCCTAAAAGCGTTTAAGCTGGATTAAAAAAAAGGAAAAGTCAAAACTGGGCCGGATGGGACTGTGTGAGGTTCATGAGGTTTCACAACCATCAACACAACTTATCCTATCTACAGTCGTTGCCAAGTGGAAAATTAGGCTTGTGCTTAATATTATGTTTGTAATATTTTAGAAGATATAAGATTTTACCCTAGAAATTTCATTATTTTACACTTTTTCTCTTGTTGACAGTTTTGAGTTATGGAAAAAAAAGTCAAGAAGAAAATTTTAAAAATCTTTGGTGACACGGAACGTAGAAAACAGAGATTTGTAACTTTACAGGCAGGAGTCTCTTGGAAAAATCCCATTTGTATCCGCACACTACAGGACATTCCACAAACAAAGTTGTTTACTGAAATAGATTTGGAAATAGAGCTTAAATTTTAACCACTAATTTTTCCCCACTTCCTTCAATTGATCTGCTGGAAAAGATAATGCAGCGAGAAAAAAAAGAAAAGTCACCCGCCGAGCATGCACTTGCGCTACTGTGTGTTATTGTGTTAAGCGTGAAGCTTTATTTAATGATTCTCGCGGCTCCGCCAGGTTATGCGGGGGTAGTCTCCATTAAAACTGTCACATATTAAATCAGCGCCGCTCACTCAAATTTCCAACAGACACTGAGAAGGTTATCAAATCACCAGAGGAAATGGTGGCCAAGCAGCAGAGCATGGCTTTGTTTATTTACAGCCTGAGGATTTGCTTTAAAAAAACAAAACACACTTAATACCCCCCACACTATCTCCCAGTGCACAAGTGCCTATGAAAACATAGTGGATTTTTAACAATTTTTGGTACATTTTTCCTCTCATATTGGGACTTGCGCCCCTCTTAAAGGAGCCTTTCTAAAGGAGGACACAAGTCCACCTGCAATATCAAGCATCCATATCAGAAATGGAGCCTGTAATGATCTGAGACACTGACTTGAACAGTCTCAGAGATGAATGCTCATGCATACATGAAGCATTGTAGATTTTTTTTTTGCTTTTTAGCATCTGGCCGAGAACAGAAGCAACGCGTTTGCCTCGCTGTCCAAACCATCTGGCAGCTATGCAGTGGGATGTGCAGAGATAATGTGGAGAACTCATGTGTTCCTCAGACCATTTCATCAATAGTTCAACAGGAAAAAAACTAAACCTTACATGGTTTGATGTAAAAACAAATTTTCATTATTTCTTAAATCGGAGGGAAATGGGACTGACCTATGAGGCTGTCGGGGCGGGGCAGGGCGCTCCTCTGGTACAGGCCGTAGGGGTCGGCGCCGTAGGCCAGCGACTGGCTCTGCCGGGGCAGCGTGGAGCCGTAATGCTGGGGGACCGCCGTCATCCCCGAGCGGAGCGGCGAGCCCGTCAGGGCCCTGCCCTCGATCAAAGAGAGGGTGGAGCCCAGCCGTCCCGCGCGCCCCCCACCGCCGAACCCCACTCCTCCCTCCCCGCCGCCCGGGCCCTGGGGGGCGTCGCCCGGGGAGGTGGGCGACGGGCAGGAGGGCGGCATGGTGGTGCCGGGGAAGATGGCGGCCAGCGGCTTGGGCTCGGACAGGACGGGCGAGTCGTAGGTGCTGCCCTGCGACGTCCGCAGGGAGATGCGGGACGGCGAGACGGTGCCGGCCGTCCCGCAGCCCGGGGACTGGCTCCTGGAGGCCATCCGCCGCAACATCCGACTGGACGCCTGAAACGAGGTGAAAACGTTCGAGCTGGATGCCGGAGCTGAGAGGTGCAATTAGGGTGGCGACGAAGCAGCTCCTCGCTCCCCCTTTCTGGAATTTTTACAGGTCATTATGCTCGCGATAGAAACATTAAAGTGCACTTGGCTGGATTTAAAACCTGCATATTGGGCTGGGGTATGCTTGGAAGCGTGTCTTATGATGCGGAAAAAAACTATGATTAGGAGCACTTATGAACACAACCTCAACCTCATTAAGGGTGCTATGATAGTAACTTTAAAAATAAGAGAGAAATATTGCCCCACTTTGTGGCTAAATTTGCTAAATTTTCTGCATTATTGCGATCATTGTTGCTTCATCAGCTCACATCAACAAGCTCTGCTTGATAGCATGCTAAGCTTAGCAACCCAGTCAATGGAACTGGAAAGCTAAAGTTTGCATCGCTGCTGTAATTTGACAGAAAAAAATAAATCAGATTTACAAGGTAATGTTCACAGTGGGAATAAGATATGTTTCCAGTGTGAATTACACTTTTATCTTTCATTTGGAGTCCTGAGAAGCATGCAAGTTCATTTGCGCTCCCTATGTGACGATCAGGTGCTTCAAACAACACGAGCGTGACACCCCGAATTTACAATCGTAAACTTTGACGTTGGAGTTGCAAACCACTGCAGCCTTTTCGATCTGATCCTTTGGGCTGCTCAACTCAACATGCTAAGCTCCAGGTGATCCATTAGCTTATTCAGCTGGTCGCACAGTTAGCTGCTTGAGTTATAGCATGGGATATGGTATTCTGTCTCTTTTTGCTGAATCGTATTGAAACAACTCCAAGAATTAGCTTGGAATGGCTCAAGATCACATCTCAGTTAGTGTTAAGTACTGATTAATTCTGAAAAAAACGGGTTGCCATACATATAAGAGAACGGGCCTACCTGCCCAGAGGCCTGACCCTCCGCCCTGGGGCTTCTGGATGCCGAGGCCCGGGGCTCTGAGCGGACCACGTTGTGGTTGCTGTAATAACTAACGCTGCTGTCTTGGTAGCCGCTGTCTGAATAGGACGTCATGTGGGCTGAATGACCTCCTGAGCCTAGAACAGAAGAGAGATAAGAGCAAACGTTTATTTTTGTGCTAAGATCAAACTGAAGCCATTCCCACATCAGTTAGAGCCTTTAAATAATTTCCGTGTCGTCTCACTCGGCTTTCAACTTGTGAAATTTGCATTATGCATGCCAGTATGTACACATGGATATCTGCGTTGGGCTTTTCTGCTGCGCTCCTGGAACAATATGCTGGCCTACTTTCTGCTGTAGGATGAAGAAGAGGAATCACATAGAGGATATTTTTATACTGTAACGCCACGCCGACGGTATGGAATATAAATAAGCCAAAGGCGAATTTGTTTGAACATTTCAAACCGCTGCTCAGATGGTCCATGCTGACTTCTTGCTGAAATTAACTCCAGTTAGAGGGAGGTTAAATGGCTTTTGGGATATTTAGGTTACAAGGGAGTTTGCGCAGCAGAATTTTATGCACGTATAGAAACGCAGCGGCACTCTGGCTCAAAGGAGATAAAACAAAAAGGATTTAGAGCTTCGCCAGCTGCTGCGCTACCTCACTCTGGCAGGAACCCGTCTATTGTGGTTAAACGCATGCTTCCAGGGATCTTGATGGACCCAAAATGTCACACTCTCCACTGAAGGGGCCTAATGGAACTCCTAGGAGCATATATACACGGGGAACGGGGAACAGCAAAAAGTAAAGGTTAAGGGCACAGAGGACTTTCATGTTCTGGGTGGATTAGAGTGAAGTGAAGAAATAAAAAATACTTTTGGAATTTTTTTTAAGAAACTGACAATAACAGCCTGCAAAAAGACAGGAAAGGTATCGCTCTGTAACGGGGGTTCAAGTTTCTCTCACATGACTCTAAAAACTGCAGGGCACTAGTGGTGTTGTTCATTTTATTTGTATTAACAGGTAAATCTTGTCTTGTTGATGGTATTCCTCCGAGCCACTGAGCTGTGTCACGTGTAAATGAATGCACAGCTGAAAAAAACGCCAGTGCAGGCATTATTTCCAGAGGAATGACACACATTTCTACTACTTTCTCTACTTTGAGTAAATGAATCCTCTTAAGAATTTAAGAAGTCAATATCCAGTGTAAATATACTTTTGAGCCATTCTTTATGATTTTCTTATTGGCTCTGGGGGAGGGCTTTCACCAAATGTATTAAGAGACCAAGTAAACTCTAACACTGCCTTTCCACTCCAGTTCTCTGTCCAAATTGAGTGTCGGATTTTATAAAGGCCTCGAAGACACGTTCTCTTCTTAACTTTTTAACTAACTCTAAAACAGAAATAGTTCCCTCGTCTCTCCGCAGTGAACCACTTTAATCAGTGTGATTTTTACAAAAGGGAGGCACAAAAAAAGCCAATTAGAACCTTGAGGAATGACGGAGGTTTGTAGCCGAGCTGAAGCACAGCAGAGAGGGAGGGGGGGGGACGGCTTGCTGGTTTTATTCCTGCAAATATTCAAACCAACTCCATCCATTTCTCAAAGTTTCACCATCAAGTCGATGGGCCAAAATTGACAGCCAAAAATCGGATTGGGACCACGTGCTGTTTTGTGTCTCCTGGGCTGAGAAATGACCAAAACGAACGAAACCAAAACGCGTCCGAACGTAAAACCGACAGACCCTCACTGTCATGCAGGGATGCGCGGTCCGCTTCGGGCAGGTAGAGTCCTTCCTCGGCCTCCAGGGGACGACCGGGACAGCCAGAGGCCTCCGTGGCTCCCACCTGAGACTCTCCGCCTGGTGTGAAACAAGCAGCCATCAGTTAAAGGTGTGTGTGTGTGTGGGTGTTTGGACGCTCCGGGGTGGACGGCTGATGCCGGCGATGCGCTGACACAAAAAAAGCACGAGGTGTAGCAGGAAAAAGAGGCCCGTGTCATCCGCAACGCTCGAGTTTTTGCCCGAGAGATGACAGTGAAAAATGGGCCTGAGATCTGAGGAGAGGGATCTGGGACAGAATAGTAAATGGGTCCGATTCAGAGCGTACAGTGGCAGTTTGTTTTGTTTTCGCTTGACCGCCTGCTGCTGCGTACTGACAATTTTCTGCCAGCTGGAGGGTATAATGGCTTTCTCATCTGGAAAAACAATATTCCCTGCCAATTTCTATTAATTTAATCTCATCTGAAGTTTCATGTAACTTAATATTTCAAATACTAAAATATTTCGAAAAATGAGCATCAGCTTGTCGGAATATATATATATGCGTTTGTGGAGCCTGGACACTGACCTTACTTTTTTCATGGCTTAAATCTGTAACTATACCATAAAGTGAGAAATCCTACCTGCAGATCTCCATGCAAACGACTTCTCGGATGAGCTTCGGTGGCAGAAAGGAAGCAGAAATGGAGAGAGGAGAGTAGTTCAAAGCACTTGAAATGATTTCCAGTTCACCCAGACCCAGTAAAGGAAAATGTTGTCTTAAATGTAAAAACAGCCAAAAACTATGCAAAGGTTTCAGGGTATAAAATGATCTTAGTTCTCTTTTTCTACATATGAAATTGTGAAAGTCTGTTCATCCTAGTTGGTAATCCAACATGATGGCCGACGTTATCTAACGGTCTGATAAATAAATAAAAAAAGATAGATCCCTTATTATCAGGATGGAATCAGATATATCAAATAAACTCCAACAAACAATGTCAGTGCTAAAGTGACTTATGAAACATATGATCTCTGTTGAACATTTTCAGAACTTAAAACGCTTGTTGTCCAATTGTGGTCCCTCTGAGTGCAGCAGCTATGCTTAGGATGAAATGGTGGGGGGTGTGTGGGGGTGGAGGAATAATTTGCAATGTATTTGGACTCACAGAATAATCTTTGGCTCAGTTAAGAAGGTCTCTGGCAAAATAAAGGTCAGTGTTACGTAAGTGGGATGTCAAATTAAAGGAGCACAGGGCCCAGTTCGATAAATACTCCAAACATTTATCCATCCATTCATTTTCTATGCCGCTCATCCCTAGTATTTTAAAAGGGGGGGGGGGGGGTGGCTGGAGCCTGTCCCGGCAGAGTAATCCGCTGCATGTAGAGGTGAAAGTTTGCGATGGGCTGTGGTGGTTATCGCCGTCACCTCGCAGCAGGGTTCCCAGCTCCAATTCCTTCCTCTTTTTGTGTGGCGTCTCCGTGCTTTCCCCCCCCCCCACGCGCACGTGTGGGATTTTCCCCAGGTAATTCGGCTGCCTCCCACAGTCACAACGCGCGCGCGTTAGGTTAATCGAAGACTCTGAACTGCCTGTAGGAGTGTGTGTGTGTGTGTGTGTGTGAGCGATAAGCTACATGGTTAATAGATGGAAGGATGGGCAGTAAGTGATCTGTGCTCTAACTGCACAATCGTTTTAAATCTATTTACACCTCGGAGGGCACGAGCCTGTATGGGGGGGGGGGGAATGTACACAGCTCCAGTAAAGACCCAGAAGACACGCTACAGTCGGTTAGGCACTGGGAGCCGCTGACGCTCGGTGAGTCATAGAGTGGCATGTGTCCGTTAGGGAGATCAAACACCCACTGCCTGTGGGAGATCTGCCAAAAGAACCTGAGGTCAGAGAACAAAAATCACGGCCTCTACCAAGAGTCGCTCGGCATACTGAATCATCAACATAGAGCTAAAAAAAAAGGAAAAAAACGTTCATTAATAAAAAATAAGTAGTAACATTGCTGCTGGTTCTACGTGGGCCTTCTGGCTTATTTCACCTTGTTTACTATGAGAAAACATCTGTATGAATCTGAATCTGAAATATCCAAAACAACATGCGATGCGTTCAGTGTCTTCATCCACTCCAGAGGAGGAAAAATCCAAGCAAATAGAATACCGCATCGGCAAACAAGCGCGGCAGCTCTGAATAATTTCCGCTCTCCGGTTTCAGAAAACTGGATCTCTCATATCTCAGTTTCATAACAGCCGATTGAATATCATGTAACCCAGCACGCAGGAAATGCGGATCTCCCGGCACTGATAAATGGTAGAACCCTCTCACAGCCAATTCAGAGACAGCGTGGAGTTAGAAAAAACTGTTGTTGCTCACTTCTCCCAGTCAACATTCGAAATTAAATAAAGCGATTGTCGTTTCTTTATTTGTGCTTTCTCAGGCTAATAAAACCTTGTGAGATCAGTTTTAATATCATGACAACAGAGGATATTACAGATATTACATACATCATATTACATCTGTTTTCTTACACTATGGGAATCTACGGCAGCAGCTTTGTGTTAAATACTTCCCTTTTTGCACACTGAGAATGTCTTTCTCAACTTAAATGAGGCGGCCGGGACTGAGTCAGTGTGGGAAATAATACGCTTAACCCTGTCAAATTTACCTGCTGCTCTCTCCCGCCGGGGACTCGGCTCCCAGCATGCACCTCTCCAGCTGGCTCGCCACGATCTGCCGCTCCTCCTCCAGCTCCCGAGTCAGCCGCTCGAACTGGAGCTCCTGCGGTGACACGTTCAGAGCAGAGATTAGGGCCCAACGCTCACCATGACATGGCACCTAAAGCCCCTCATTTAAGACCTATTTGACGCCAGTTAGAATTAAATGTAAAAATCCATTCTGCATTCAGCCTCCATGACTTGACTGATTCTGAGTGTCCTCAAGCTCATTTTCCCCCCAATAATCTTTTTAGACACATTCTTAAAACATGCAGGGCACTAAGAAAGTCGCAATTTGTTGGAGATGCTGCAAACAGATATGACCTTTCATCACAATATGTCTATTTTAGATAGCTTCTTTTAAAACTCTGAAAGCTCAGAGAGACAAAATAATGCCACCTGTATACACTTATCAGCAAAGCCGGGTGTGTTTTAAATAGCCGACGCCGAGGTATTTCAGTGGGCGAGCCAGCGTTGTTTCCTGTAATTGCTCTGCGACCTTACCGACTCATAACTCATCGCCTCGGAGGAAAAAAACGGAACTCGACGCATTTTTACTCAACCCAACGATGTTGGTGTGGAATCCATTTGGCTCTCGCGTAGAGCTTTAGATAAACACACAAGAGTCGTCCTTTAGCTGCCGGAAATGAAGGCGTTTTGGCATTTTTTTTTACCTTTGATGGCTGCTATAAATAATTCCAGCACAGGCGCTCGAACATATTTTAGGAATTGTGCGTTTACTTCAGATTCATTCAAACGAGGCTTTCGGGAAAAAATTTGCTATGTCATCAGGCAGCGACGCATCAGGTTGCTAAGATCAGTGAGTTTCCCCCCCAAGGGGGAAAAACTGTTAAATAAGTAAATATTCCCAACTGTCTATACATTCCACTAAAATAAATCAACATTTTGGTCCTCAATTCTGCCTTGGGATCTCTTCTCTTATCGCTTTTTTTCAGTTTTTTGAAACTCTTACCTGGAATCAACCCTTCACTGTGACCTGTTTTGGCCTGAGAGGAATTAGAAGCTCTGTGGAGCGGATGAGTCTTTCAAAGCTGGAAAAATAATGGACTTTGCCTTCACAGCTTCAAGTCTTTGTGGTTTCTCATCGAGCCTCTCTTTCCGAAACTCTCCCAGACCACGTTTGGAGGATTCGGAGGTATTTGACTTGTAGCTCGCAGTGCGCCAAATACTTTGACTTTATCGCTTCATTATATCGAATTGCATCTTTTTAGCTATTTCCCGTTGAGGCCCTCTCACTTGGTATGCCTCCCAAATATGGGAAAAAATAGGAAGGTTAAGAAAAGAAAAGGACAAGCGGCAAGCAGGGATACTGATTCTAACTTCTCCTTTGAGATAACAGAGAGAAAACTGAACTGAGAGAGGAATTAACATCCAGATTATTGAGCGTGGTTCTGTGAAAGGAGGGAGCGAGTTTGGAATTCAAGTGATTTTTCAGCAGTATTGGGTTTTGCCAACTGTGCCTGAAGTCAAACTTTTTTTCTTCTTCTTTTTCTCCATATTTTGGTTCTCCATTCTAGAGGGAAAATCTGGAGCTCAATCAAGTAAAATAAAAAGAACATTACATCATGTAACATCTGATGGAATACAACACTAATTTAAAAAGGGGGGGGGGTGCTGTAAGTAATTCTGGTCATGGAAAATTCATCAGCTTCGTTTAAAAAAGTACTCCACGCTTACTTTGAGAGACTCTGCCTCTCATAGATGCTCTTTGTGCACAATGAGGAGTACAATCCCTCGACCAATTTCTATTAGAGTGTTCAGGAGGACCTTTGGATCAGGTCCCCTAACAACAACAAAAGACACCTAAACCCATTCATCAAGCCTCTCTCTCGTAGACTTTGCAACTGGTTCAAGCCGCCACAGTCGGGGGAAGTTTGGATGTCGCTGCCGGCCTTATTTCAGAACAGCAAGCCTGCGCCGCTCAAACAGGATCGCTTTCAAAAGCCATCCGTTCAGACACCTTAACAAGAAAGGCAGGACGCTGTCAATCTGTCATCGCAACAGCTCAGACCGAACAAATCTTTAGTGATTCTCGGAATCCCGAAGAGACGGAGCTCATTCTGTGGTGCTGATCAGTGTTGATTCTTCTGCAGCAGCTGCCAGAAAAGATGTCTGTGGCTCTGCGAGAACTCATCTAGACAAATGCCAAAATGTGGAAATCCTGGTGAACTGAGCCCTCGCTGTACTCGTCTTTTTGCTGAACGTGTTACCGACCAGTTGGTTTCCTTTTTTCTACAACAAAATAAGAAGAAAATCAATTCAATCTTCTTCTCTAATCTTCTGTCAAACTCTAGTGAAAAGTATTGCTTACTTTAAATGAAAAAATAATATATATAGTTGAGACTGATGGGCTTTCAGAAAACCTGATGATCTATTTTAAAAGATGATGAGAACATTTTGAATGCAAAACATAACTAACTTAGCGATGGATCAGACATTAAGAGATGTTTTTTTAGCTTAATTTGTGGTTCAGGAAGAAGGAATCAGACAATTATTAAAATCACTTGAAAAAATGCTGGACTTTTTTACAGCTTTAGAGACACACTGCAGCCATGCTAAGGCATCCAGGTTAACTCCGTCCCTCTGAGTGTCGACTGATGAGCTACGATCCCTCCTCCCCCTCCTCCCCCTCCTGGCGTCACCGCAGAGGGACGCAGAGACAGGACGGGAACACACAGTCCTCCTTGTTCCAGTCCAGGGGGGGGGGGGGGGGGCCCAACGGACGTCTAGAGACCCGGGCCCGATCCAGAGCCGTGCCGGCCGACGCCTCACACCGGCCCGGGGGCGAGCGGACGATTGGCAACGGCGTATTGTGCGCCGTCACGGAGCCATTCCCCCTCCCTCCTTCCCACCCCCCCCCCTTCCCGCTGCGTCTAATCAGGGCCCCGCGGTTCTGTCTTTATCCGCTCGGCATCTCTGACACCCGTGAAAATGTTCGGCCTAGTTTTTGCTGACGCTGCGGCGCATCGCCGTAGCTCTCTGCCTCTCCGCCGCTCGCACAAAACCGCATTTCCAGAGGCCCAGATACGCTGAACGTATAGGATTTCCATTTGTTTCTCTAAACTATCTTTTCAACAGCGGCCATACAGGGTGAAATCATCAGAGGAGAAGAGATTCAAGCTGTTACGCCCACGTCAGCCTCGGCGGACCTCGGCGCCGTGCGTCCTCTGTGTTTATCAAGCTTTCCTGCCCTCTCCACCTACAGACGTAACCTGCGCATGGATTTAAAACGCGTTCCCGTCTCCCGGTGCCACTTTAGATGGCGAGCAACAAGTTGCGCCCGTGCGCCGAGGCCGGAGGCCAGTCTCCTGAGTGGATGGGGCGGGTGGGGAGGGGGCAGACGGCGCCTACAGAAAAAGGCGAGCGACTCCCGGAACTGCAAAGTTCCTAAAACTTAAAACTCACCACGCAGATTTCTTTCTCTTTGGGTGGACAGGATGCCGACGGGAAGAGAGGCTTTTTTTTTTTTTTTTTGGCTCGCAAGCGCCTAAATCTGAACACTATTCAGCCCAAAACGGTCTCAGACGGGTCTGTCGCACCGGTGGTGGAGCGCCGTGCCAGCTCTGGAAGCTAATAATCAGGAGGTTCAAACCAGGTTTGATGCCATTTCTCCACCAAAACTAAGACCACTGTGCCGTGCCGGCCAACTGGAACAGGTCCAGAGAAAGGGGAAATGAAAAAGCCCCAAAAAACGCACCTGTGAACACAAACTAGAGCGGATTTGCCATGATATCGTTGATTTTAAAAGTATCGATAACAACAACTAAAAAATGAGTCCCTCGATGCTTTCGCAGCTTAAAAACTGGGCACCTTTCTGATATTCTCAGAACAGATCTGACAGAATACAAACTTAAAAAAAAAAAGATGGGGATGGATTCGGGGAGAGAGGAACAACAGGCCCGACGAGGGGCCTTCAAACCCGGGCAGACGTCCGACGGCATGGGGGGCATCGTGGCAGTGACGTAACTGGACTGCACGAGCTGGTTTTTAAGCCGCAGATTCGTGAGAGGGCAAACCCTCATCCCCCCCCCACCCCCTCGTCCACGCTGTAAATTCCCTGCGATGTCGAGCATGCGATTTTTGGCTCCCGTCGCAGAAATCCAGCCGAGCGCGGAGAAACAGCGACGGAGCTCGGTTGTTGTCGTTTTTTATTGAGCTCCCCCGGCCGCCCCCCTCCCCCTCTCTCGGTCTTGAGCGGGGTTTTTTGCTGAGCACGCGTGTTCTTTCGACAGCGCTGCCGTTCCTCACGTTGGCAGGAAGGGACCCCAGCTCTCAGACCCGGGAGCTGCCGTCAGGCAGCGGAAAAACCACTTGTGTGACCCAGATGCTCTCTGTGTCAAAAACGGCAAAAGATAGGCTATTTTTCCTGCCTTTGACTGACCCAAGCGAGGCACTGTTGACCACTTGACCGCCAACCAGCATCACCAGAGTTTATACGGGAGAAAAGAATCATTCACGCCACCAATCTGATGCACATTTCGTGGCTTTTGCGTAGGGAACCCTAACCACCAAGGCAATTTGTCGTAGTATCGACAATGCAAGATGCCCAAATTTGAAGTAAATTGCTCTTTTTACATGACGGAGCTGCAATAATTGTGCCTTCCCCCCCAATTTCTACAGCTCCTCTTGTGCATTTTACTCTCACATTCGTGGGAAGACCACTTGAGAGCATTTCCTCCGTGCTTCGGTGCACTCGGCGATGCGAAAAGGAGCAGATGGCCGTCGCTTTGCTCTGCGACAGGGCCTCTGCTCTCCTCTCATCACCACGCAGCTTTCTTTCTCTTTGGGTGGACAGGATACCGACGGGAGGAACGCTTTTTTTTTTTTGGCTCGCAAGCGCCTAAATCTGAACATCATCCAGCCCAAGACGGTCTCAGACGGGTCTGCCTTACTGGTGGCGAATTGCCGTGCCAGTTCTGGAGGTTCAAAGGTTCAAACCCGGTTTGACGCCGTTTCTCCACCAGAACTAAGAAGGTTGTGCCGTGCCTGCCAACTGGAACAGGTCCAGAGAAAGGGGAAATGAAAAAGCCCCCAAAAAACGCACCTGTGAACACAAACTAGAGCGGATTTGCCATGATATCGTTGATTTTAAAAGTATCGATAATTAGGTGGAGATCTGCTCTCTATCTTGCTATTTAACGGCCTTCTCATCGTCAATGCTGGGTTGTGCTGGATCGTTGGGTCTGAAGCAACACAATGACAGTTCGTAGATAATCCTCGCGGCTCACCAGTTTGCTCCCATTTGGCTCTCACTTTCACCATTACTTCAGAGGAGCAAATTCCTCTTGGATCTGGAGAAAACCAGCCTGGTTTAAAAAGCACAAAACGCTTATAGATTCCAGAAAGGAGCCGGGGCTAGAAACAGAAAAAAACACCACTGAGGCAGAGCAGAGTTCAAAATGATGGCCGTGATGCTATTAAAAATGGAGAAAGGCAGACGATCATTCATCATTATCTGAAGCTCCCTTCTCTTTCTTCTCTTCCTTTTTACTTCAAACAAGTCGGATCGGAAGAGCCCTCCGATAACGAGTATTCTTAGCCATCAATTCTTTTTGTTATTATTTTTCAAAGCAAACAAAGAAAATGAACGAAACCCATGAGACCACTTACAAAAACACTCTGCCCAATCTTCTAAATACATCCAATCTTTGTAGTAATTACTGCTTGTTTCACATAGATGACTCAATAATGAGATTATTGTGAACATGTTCAGTAGCTGTTCAAGGTCATCCTGTAATTAAATCCGCGACTTGTAGACATTTTATGGCCCAACAAAAGGTAGGAAAATGTTTGTACTTGCTGTGATGATTTCAGCCAACTGAGTATCAAGCATTGAGAACGTTTGGTTTAACACCGATTCATAAAGTCCTGCTTCTTTAACCCCATGAGGACCCTATGTGGTCCTGAGTGTTTTTTCCACTTTTGAAAAGTTCTTTCAATAAAAACAATCAACTTTTGCTCTGAGCCACAGAAACAGTGATCAACGTGAGTATTATGACAGCACTGCCAACTCCTCACAACCGCTGTCAAGGACATATTTCATTCTTCACCCCCTTTCAAGCCTTCGCGGAATGCGCAGACAGCCACGGCATTGATCTCATCTTTCATTTTCGCAGCAACTTTGCCGCAGGCTGTTGTCTCAACATCGCATCAATCTGCCAGCGTCTGCCCGTCGGTCCGGGTGTCGGGCCCGATGCCCCGTGCCAAAACCTTCGCGGGGGTTTCGGCTTTCAGAGTCGCCGTATTTGGTTTTTGCCCCGGCTCGCATCCATCATCACTCTTCCGGTTTTAATGGGCTAAACGAGAGCAGAGTGAAAAAAGCACGGGGGCCCCGAACGCAACGGAAGGCAATAACCGCCGCGCTCCATTTAGCACATCCAATTTTGACATTTCTGTGGAGGAACTGCGGGCGGTAGATTTGACGCTTCAGAGGCGGCGTTGCCTCCTCTCCAACACGGAGAGGAGTAAAAGCTACTTGATTTTATTTTCTGGTCACGGACCGTTCGACAGTCTGAGTCAAGCTGTGGGATGAAACGCCTGCTCTCCGGCAACTCCAGAATTTAGACTGTGACCATTCTGTACGTCACGGGGTGTGGTTTCTTTCTATGCCAGCCTGTTATCCACAGGAATCCCACCACCCCCCCACGAAAAAAAGTTGTCTCATCCTCAAATGGCCACATTTCCGAAAGCTGCATCCACTAAAAAATGGGTGTCACGGTGACACAGCGATGCTCTCCACATCGTATGCTCCAGAGGAAACAGCGGCCTGTAATGGCTACTACACACATCACCTCCAACAGCATTTCACAAAGATCTCCTCCAATCATACGGGAACATCTCATAGGGTTAATGATGACCTAAAGTATGACCAAAAAAAAAAGGCACAAAACGACTGTCGACTGACCACAAAGAAAATAAAACGACTGGAAAGGATCATTTTTAACTCACATTGAAGAAAAATCTTTCCAAATACACAATTTGTGGGATGCACAATGGCTCCAGTCAGACACAAAGAAAAAGAAAAGTATTTTCTCCTTTCTAAAAAAAGGTCTGAGATACTTATCATCAGACCTTTTCACACATCAGAGAAAATGTTTTCATCAAGCCTTTAAAGTGATGGCATTCAGTCCTTTGCACATTGCTCACCATTTGGCTAGTAATGAACTTCCTTAGTACAAACATGCAAAGTGTGCATAATGAATGCAGCAAAAAGGTTGCGTCATCACACCAAAATCACTCCTGACTTTTCCAGCTAACAAAAAAAAAAAAAAAAAAAAAACGAAAGAAGAGGAGAGAGGAGGAAATTATTAAAGATGGTCGGTGAGAAAGCGAAAGATGAAAAGAAAATAGGAAACACTTCTAACCCGATTGTCTGGGACTGAACAAACCAGCTGATCCCTGTACCCAAAAAAAGCTGCCTGACATTTGGAAGTGCTCTTCTCTGAAATGGAATGGGATGGCATTTTGGTTCTCAATTCTTAGCCGAATAGTTGGGCTGCTGTCTTCCATCCGGTTGATAGTGACATCTTCTTCTTTTTTACCGCTTTGCACAAGCTTGACAAAAAACAACTACAGCTACAGACATCTTTCTCTGAGAGCTAACCTGCAAACGATAATTCATCTGAAACCGATAGACCAACCTTCTGTTGCGTCACGGCTTTGATTTAAGGTGTGAAATCTGTCATAAATGACAGATACATTCAGCAAAAATGGTCCTGCTGACCCCCCCCGAAAAGGAGCTTGACCCTTCGGAACTTCCCGCATTACCATCCTTGACCGATTGTCACCACAACCTCCGTCTATGAACGACCCCCCACCAGTCCATCAGAATAAAACTGCCCTTGACTTAACCCTTCCGCACATGGATCACACACTCTGCGTCCGCCTTAATGGATCCTATTTCCCCGACTCAACAGAATCGACTGTGACACACACACACACACACACACAGCTACATCCTGCATACAAGTTGTGGACTATTTACACACCTTTGCCACTGGAATAAACAAAAAGGAGGGGGAAAAAAAGGAATTTATGTCATTGCCACCCTGATATCTGTTCTGTTGGGTTGGAGCTATCGTGGCCATTAGGCAACAACAGAACCAACACTGACACGAAGATGACACGGGGATCACCTAATTGCTTTTGGCATACTGACCACTCGATGCAGGAAAAAGGAGCATGGACGTGGCGGAGGCCTTTACTGAAAACTTTTCCGATCAGCTGAGCTTTTGCAGTTGCATATTAAAAAGGAGGAGCCGATGTCTCTTTTTCTTGGACATCACAAGCCCTTTAAATAGCAGCGTTCCTAATTCGGAGTAGCACACCCAGGGACCGAGTTGAGAACATGGCCCGAGTCCAGGTATAATTAAGAAGAGGAGAACAGAGAGACTGTCGCGCTGCTGGGACAGAAAGCGGCATTAAAACAACAGCGGGGACTGGAGACAGATGGAGGCTGGGCTCACATGTGTCCCTCCTGTTTTTCTTTCCAAGTTAACAGACGATGTCTTTCTGGGAGAGTTCATAAAAATGCAAAAAAACATCCCTCAAATGCATTTTACATCATTAAAACTGAACTGTCAAATCTTGTTACGCCATCTATTAGGATCACAGTGAAACTAAGAGGGGGAAACATGAAGTGAAAAAAGTCTCAGAAAATACAGAGAGAATAGCAAACGTGTTAAAAAGGGACTAAACAAACTTCCACTGTCAGTTCTTCCAGAGACCCCCTTACTCTTTCATTCAAAGACTCAGCCAAATTGTTCAAAATCCATCATATTCTAGTCTAATTGTGCCACAATATACTGGATTAACTTGTAAATTTGGGGGCTTAATTCATCCAGTGAGCGAGATGAAAGGACCAAGAATGAATGAGCCGTGTCTGAAAATTGATTGGCTTCATAAACAAACCTTAAAGGGATGCAAAATGGCAAAAAAGGAAAAAAAAAGCTAAATTACCAGAAATAATGAACATAAAGGGACACAAAGCTAAATGGAGATTAGAATTACCCCAACAAGTTATTGAAGCTAAATGACACCAAAATATAGCAAACATGGACAGAAAGGAACAAAGAAAAACTTCAAAAAAGGAACAAAACATAGTAAGATGGGTCCAAATTTACCACTAAAAAGAATCAAAACAAAACTGCAAAACAGGGACGCAAATTTGCCTCAGGAAAGTAAGCCTCCACTCAGAAAGGCAAGACACAACTGTTGTCATAAAAAAGACTGCAAAGAAAAGCTACATTTTCTAAAGGATGAAAGAGGACAGAAAATCAGAGTGAGAAAATAAAACGCAATAACAAGGAGGAAAACAGATTACAAGAAAACTAAAAATGACCTCTTTGTACAGTTCGCTGAGCACAAAGACAAGAAAACAACTGGAAATGATTTTCTTTTTTTTAAAACTCAGAGAAGAAAAATCTCAAATAATGCAGTGGGACGCACAATGTTTGCCACAAACTGAACATAAAAACATGCAAAACTACCTAAACGGGATCCAAAATGGCCCTGCAAGAGGAGCAAAACTCCAACAAAAGACATCAAAGACGCAAAAAAAGAGACCGGATTTCGTAAGAGGCTTAAGCAAAACTACTACAAAGGGACGCAAATCCACACGTGTGGGATCTCGAATGCGCGCAAAAGAAAAAAATCAACAAACTGGAGGAGATACGCCATGCGAGGAGAAGCAAAGACACAGAGGGACTTCAACATTGAGCCCTTTGGACAGTTCTGATCCCGCATAAGACAGCTGACGTCACACAGCAGACACAGAGCCGGCGGCGGGAAGATAGAGCCTGCAAATCAAAAGCCAAATCTTTTTGGGAAAAAAAATTTAAAAAATTCAAATGGAGAGGGGGAAAAGGACCTTCTCCCACCAGCATGGGTGTGACCGCAGCAGCTCCGGCCACCTACCTGCTCTTTGACGGAGGCCAGGAGGTTGGTGGTGGTGTTGGTGTTGCTGTTGCCGGGGTCCAGCAGGAGGCCCTGACCGCTCGGCCCCTCTCTGACCGCCATGGGCCCTTCCCCTTCCGTGTCGCCCTCCTCCATGGCCTCCACCTCCTCCCCGCTGTCGTCCAGAGCTGCCGAGGCCCCCCTTTTTCGACCCTGCGGAAGGTAGAGGAGGCTAAATGAGCGGAACGTTCCGGTCACATCCCTCTTTCCACCCGGTTTGGCGCCTATCGGGTGTTTGGCGGGGACCAAACGGTGATAATCCTCCCGGGGGGGCTTCTCACACCTCTCTGTTAGGTGCTGACCTTATGGTATCAGCACCTTACTCATCCAGTATTTTCAGGGTGGCTCTTTATGGCTCCCTCATCCTTTCAGAATTCCCAAAGAGGCTCCCACAATGAGCTTATGGGTCTTTTTTTTCCCTGAAGCAGATTGGGAAATCTCCTGTTATAAGGCGAAGGCACACAGAGGGATTCAAGCGTGTAATAATGAGACATGGACTTACAAATATTTCCACCCGAGCCGTTGAGATAGCTTTACGTTTAAAAGGTTATACGTTGGATTTTCATGTGTTTGCAGCGCGTGGCCCCTCCTCCCCGTGCCTTTTAAAACCCGATATATGAGAAGATTCTACCGATAACCACATGCACCCAGGCTGTCAAACGCGGTAAATGTGTATTTTTAAAAAAAGATATAAAAAAAAAGCTAAGAAAGAAAGCACTAATTTGTCATTTCGTAGCCAAGGACGAGGTCACGGCGACTCACCGGACCGGCGACCGGAGCCTGGCCGCCGACGGGGGGGGGGGGGGGGGGGGGGCCCGCGCGGGGGGGGCCCCCCCCTCCGCCCCTCGTGCTGTCAGCGCGCGACCCTCCGCCCAGATGTGGCCGTTAGGCACGGGGCCACAGCTGGCTCAGTCGGTCCCGTCACACGTCCGTCCTCCCGCTGCTCCTGCGAACGGCCGTGACAGCTACATCTCCCCCCGCGCCGACGTCACGAGCCAACGGTCCCGTGCACGCTCCTGCAGCCCCTCGTGCGGTATTTCTCTCTTTTTTCCCGCCTCTATCCGCTCTTTTCTTGTTATTATGATATATATCTATATGTATATATATATAGATATATATCAATGTATTTCTTTTTAATTGACTGGCGGTTTGAAATGCACGCGATAGGAACTGGCGTCCGCGCGCGCCCCGGCTGCCCGCCCCAACCAACCAGCGAGCCGATCAGCGGCGTGACGTCAGCATGCGGCTACGGATCCATTTCCGATACATGGATCGATCCGGCGCCCGCGTGCGTGGCAGCTGCAGACCGCGTGCAGGGGGGTATGCAGTCCGCAGCCTGTGTGTGTGAGAATGTGTGTGTGTGTGTGTGAGAATGTGTGTGTTGCGTCCACACAAACCGCTTCAGGTCAGAGCGCTCTTTACGGAAACCCCACTGGGATATTTAACCGTTAAACAGGTTCATTTCATGGAAACACATTCACGGTCTCCTGCTTAAAGTTACAATTAACTTGAGAAAAAACATGTAGTTAAAGGAAATAGAGGACCGATTAATAAAATCCTGTCAGTTAAAGGTAGAACCCATGAGGTCAAAAGTGGTCAGTCTCTGAGGATTACATTGTGCACGAGCCAAGCACAGCAATGAAGCACATTTATGTATCAAAACCCTCCTTTTTTTCAGGGCATATCCCGCTTTTAAACCGAAATGCTCACAGATTGGCCGATGTGAGGTTTAACTAAATGGCTCACAGTGTCCAGGTTAGGACTGGAAAAGGGAAAAGGGAGCTTTACCATGACGAAAGGCCCTTCATTTTTATTTAAAAAATCCTTAAATTAAATAAATAAAACTCCTTTAACTATCCTGTAAAATCTCAATGAAAATCGCCCAAGAAGTCTAGGATGACAATTCACATTCCTACATCAGTTTTACATTTAAAAAAAATACAGTACACCTGTGCACATGCACATGCCCATTTATTGAATTGACAAGAGTGTGTGTGCAGCCATCAACATGAGCAGGTTCTTACATGGAATATTATCGGGAGGACTTTTTCTCCTCGTGCCGAAACGCTTGAGGGGATACCTCTGTGGACCGGCGGCCGTCGGCCTCTCGCGCGTTTTGCATTTCACATAAACTAACACCACTTCCAAGATTTACAAAGCGAAAAAAAACAAAAAAAACAACCTAAAACGTAAAATAACGACTGGACTCCGCAAAGTTAAGCCACTAAGTGTCGTCTCCCTTCTGCTCTTTAAAACGATGACGCCGCAATGGAACGCAAGATTACCTGAATACTTCAAAATGGCCGGTTGGAAAATAAACCCATCCTTAGGAGCAGACATCATAAGAGGTGATACATTCGCCGTTCCTTGTATACTGTAACACTATATACCACATGTACAGAAATTCGACATCGTAAACACTGCTTTGTGGAGGCCGACGCCTCTCTGGGGCGTTGGAAACCACAAACATCTTCTCCTCTCGCAACTTCAGTTCAGAGAACTGTGGAATTTGTCGGATCTACACGTACGGACATTGCCCCGAAATCCTTCCACTTTAGGAGCCACTTCCTATTTTGGAAAGGAAACAACCCGGCTGAATTTGGACAAAAAAAACTAAACAAAAACGACTGCAACTTGAACCGAATCGCTGCCAACTTTTAACATTCTCTGGTGGGAAAAATCCCGCCCCGTTCGTTTCAGGGAGACACAAAATGGCGGGAAAAAACAGGAAGAGCTTCTGAAGTGGAAGTTTTCTTCACCTAAAAACGTCAATGACGTCTAACTCCTACTTGATCACTACCGCACTAAGGAAAAACTAAATATAAAATGCAGCACACTTGGGTAAAAACAGTTTGGTTAGCATGGTCCGTTTGTTGGCTTTTTTTTGTGTAAACCGTGTGTTAGTTGGCATTTCTCGTTATTGGGTGAGCCTAGCATCGCGGTGCTCTCGTTTAGTTTAGCCAATTTTAACCTTTGAGCGACTTTTAAACTAAAAACCTATTTGCTGAGCAACAAGCTAACTGTTTTTTCATTTTTAAAGAACAAAACTAAACATTTTTGGCCCCCTTTATGGCAGCACTAACCTGTCGCTGCTCGCTTCATTATGTGATCACAACTGTAAAATCAACAAATCATTTTGTCTCCGCACCAACAGCTAAAAAAAAACACCCACCATAAGGAATTAGAAAACAATAACTCGCATCCTTTCAGAGAGCAGGAGCCCTTGGTCAAATGAAATCATAATTCACGTCACTGGAACTACAATTCAAGAGCACAAACACTTTAAAACTTCTAACTCGATCTTCATACGACCGGAGGGGGGGGTGGGAGTGAGGCCTGTTAAGTTTCCAACCAACCCCCCCCCCCCCCCCACCTGACCCCTTCAAACCTTCAAAAAAAGCAAAAAACTAACAAAAACAAAAAGAAATTTACTGCCAGCACCGATACTGGAACTCCATTGTGTTTTGTCTTTTCTCCTACGAATCGAAGCAAATAAATAAGAGAGGGCGGTACCTTTGCATTTAAACATCAGTACAAAACCGAAACAGTGAACGGGACAGTAAGAGGTGAGTGAGGCGGACGGACGGGGGGGTGGGGTGGGGCGGCGTGTTTCGTGGGGTTTGTGTCACCAGCGTTACAATAAAAACGGCCACCACCCGTGGGGGGGGGGGGGGCCTACTCCAGCTCGTCCACGTCCTCCGTCATGACGGTGCTGGTTTGTTCCGAAGTCACACCTGGAACAGAGAAAAAAAAAAAAAAACAACAAGTGTTGATGTTACAGAGGTGCTTCTCTTTCTGCGAGGGGATGTTATGCGTGAGGTGGTTAGCTGCTCTCAGTGGCTCCTTCTTTAGCTTTACTATCGAAGATAGCTTTTCTTTTCTGTACTAAACAAAAGCCTCCAACCAAAAGTCATCTCTCACCGAGAAAGACCTACTTACAGTTAAACACACCCACTTCTCTCCTCCAGCCGACTGTCATTTCCTCCCTTTTTGTGTATCTGTGCTTCAGTGGCTCTTCAGAACATTCTACCCTCACTGCTCGGAAATACTAAGACATTGTATTTTTTTTATTACTTTCTTTTAAAAAAAACAAAAAAAAACTGCTTTCGTCTGGTCTTCTCAAAAGTAAACTGAGGAGAGGAGACGGCGATGCTCACTTTCCAGACTCAATTTCCAGCCAAAACACACCCCACACAACGGTTGGATTGCCTTCGCATTCGGGCTCAGATTCGTACTTGAGGCATCGTCGTCGTTGGGCGACTTCTTCTTCTCCTCCACGTAGCCGTGGCTGAGCAGCTTGGACATGCTGACCGGAGGCGCCTTCTTATCGTAAGACCTGGCGGAGGGGGACAGCAGAAGTCCGAGCGTGAGCGCTTCGTTTCATCGGGTTTACTGCACAAAGCGCCCGCAAATTCTTACGTTCTCTTGAAGTTGCCGGCTAGAGACAGGCCCTCCATCTCGTGGGCAGCCCCGTCTGGAGACACCTGCGGAGCGGAAAAGTCACCCGGTTCTTATCTGCACTCAAAAGCAGCGTTTTTTTTTTTTTTTTCCTTTTTCACCTGCTTTAGAACGCAAGCGCGTCAATAAACCTGACAAGCAAACAGAACCAGTGAGCTGGTGAGAGGCATTTCTGGGGAGGAGAGCAGAGGATGGCATGGGGGAGGCGCTGTGGTGAAATTAATCGTGCGATGGAAAAAAAAAACGAGGCGACACAAGCGTGAGCAAAAACCGGCAAAGTAAAATGATGAAATCAACAAACCTCCTATTCCACAAACCAGCTTTTAACCCTTTGAATTATCAATAATAATCAGCATTCTTGCAACCAAAAATCATTCTAGATTACACAAACCTAGCTTTGTAAACCAATTTATATTTATATAACATAGGTATATGCAATCGTGTCTTTAAGTAACACAGGACAGAGCAAAAATCTGCTCTCAGAACTTCTAGAAAATGACCACTCACCCATAAAGCACCGGCAGAAAATTAAACCAAACTTCGAATGGAGCAAAACCAGGAGGAAAACAAAGGAAAGACAACGGTGAAAATGCTGGAAATGATCGATATTAAAAGATGGGGGGAGGGAGAGGGGGGGGGGCGTCTGCGGGGGGGGGGTTGTGGGAGGGGGGGGGGGGGGGGGGTGACTTTTTGGGGGTCCATTCACCTTCTCTTTACCATGGGAAAAACTATCAGTCTCCCTTTCCCAGGACGAACCGTTATCAGTGCCAAACGGTGCGGCCAGGGGCTGCCTGCCCGCCTTCGCCTGGCTGTCGGGAGACGTTGCTTTGCTCCCACTGCAAGCACAAAACCACGGCCATGTCACAAAGCACTGCTCAGTCCGGCCGCAGCCCCGAAGGCCCGCCGACAACGGGAGGACCCTTAAGCATCTATCAAACTTAGGCCACGCGGATGTCGTCCTCTAACCGCTTTCCGGCCAGAAAGAAAGAGCCAGGTGTGTGCAGGAGGAGTAACCAGAGGGGCTAATCGGGGTTTTTTTTGTTAAAACCCGCAACTCTCAGCGATATGTGGCCTTAACGAGCGTGTCGTCTGCCTCCCTACCTCTTCGACTCATTGCCTCCAAACCAGTTGGGTGGATTGTAGGATTTCTTGGGTTTGTCGTCTTCGTCGGCGTCGTGACTCAGCAGCCCTGCAGGAGGAGACAGTATTCTAAATAAATGAGAGGCCGGCCATAACGGAGCCCCGTATCTCCCCTTTTACAGCACAATTAACGTTGTCCATTCGGTTCAGCGGCTGAACAATAAACCCAAACACACTCTGGGTTTGGGACTCTTTGGGCTTAATTGACAACTCGTAATGTTCTTCTTTTGTGCTCCCGTTCCCCCAAATCCCTGCCATTCTCCTGCCGCGCTGCCACAGCAGCGATTAGGAGACAAATCCTTATCCATGCAGAGCACAACCGGATGCTGAAGCCTGGAGTTTTCTTACCCCCCCAACAAGTGTGTATATTCATTAATGAAAAGCTTCCACCGTTTTCAGTTAAACAGGAAGGGGAACTAAAGTTTTTAGATTTGACACACAGAAATCAAATGTAAAAAAAATAAAAATAGCCATTGAGGGAGTGTTTTTCCTGGGTAGCTTTTACAAAACTGGCAAAAGTCACTTTCACGCAGCAATTTTTTTATTTCTCCAAATTGCCACCAACATCTTTTTTTTATTTTATTCCAAGTCCTCTGGAAGAGCTCGAGGCGGTTTACCTTTGTGTCCACCCTGCTTCGCGAGCTTCACGTAGTCGGAATCAGAAGCAAATATCCCGACCCGACGTCCACTGATCCGCTCCGCTGGAGTGTTTTCGTCCGCACTCTGGGACAGACCGGGGATCTGGGAGGTTGGTCCAGTCACGCCGCTGTTAGCCGCCCCTGGCTTTATGCCTGCCAAGCACCGAGAGGCACATTTGTTTGGCTGGGGAGCGACTAAGAGCTGGATGGGCTGTTGCTTTCACTGCATTTTTTGTTTGGTTAACACCATTTTCTGGTGATGGATTCAAAATGGGTGTACAATGCGTTCTCTTTATTTCTCACAAACTATGGAAAACAATGCCTGTTAGACTCACACAATCATAACCACACCCCTACAGCATCTGCAATGATTTAGCTGTAGAGTAAAGTAGAATTCTGCTGAGAAAGTAAAATAAATACTCGTCTCAAGTGGGGCAGTCTTACCGCCTGGCTTGGTCCTTCGATGGTTGGGGACAACAGCGCTCATTTTTATCTGAAAACACAAGAGAAGCTCGTCACAAGTCAGAAAAACTCACACAGAGTGGGCTTGTTTTCACGAGGGCTACATGCAATAATCAGCGTTTTATTCAGATCTCCTAAGTTTTCATCCACAAAATTAAGGACATCATGTTAAGATATGTATCCACATTCCTGGAAATGACGATTTTCATTTAAGTTTCAATTAAGTTTATTCTCCATACATACTCCCGGCCAAAACTGCTCCTCCCTACCCTGTAAGTCGCTTTGGATAAAAGCGTCTGCCAAATGCATGAACATGAACATGAACATACTGATTATACATAAGGAGCGTTTAATAGCAGGCCAGTAAAATGCGATTTTACAGTGTTCCTTGGGATATTTTTTCTTCCTGCTTGCCTACGTATTTGGCCAAATTGACAAGGCTTGGGAAAAGCAACAACAAATATTAAGCAATCTTAAATACTCAATGAACCGTTACCTAAGAAAGAAGGAAAAACTCAATTCTACATGTCTGTCAATGGAGTTTGGCCTAGTGAGAGCAAATGTGCCACCGAGAGGCCCTCCCTCAGTTACCACGAGTGAGAATATAGAAACCAAAATTAATTTACCGGTTAAAACTAGTGTATCGTGTATTTATTTGAGTCATGAAAGAATATATATCAGATGACTTGCAGTAAAAAATCTATGGAGTTTTTTTCTTAATTAATTAGAATCTCACACAAAGGGAAAAGGCGTTTCTCTTTGAAAATATTGCATTTAAATATAATGTTTTATCAAAATATGTTGGCACACGCTTTAGAAGTTCATCCTGCATACCCCACACTCTTAAATTGGAACAAAATCATTTTACTAAGCAAAAAAAGCTAACAAATGCCTGCTAATTTAGCTAGCCGCCTAGCTAGTTGCCGCATTAGCTTCCCATCTTACCACTTTTCGCTGCATCACTGTTGTTTCCTTTTTTTTTCAAAGCATCCGGTACCGATACTATCATTAGACAAATTACGTCTCTTACCGGGTTTGAAGTGGTCAGTTTCTTGGAGAAGTCAAAGAGGTTGTTGCGATTAAAATCCGTTAGCGTCTTCGGCTTATTCTTAAAGCAGGATTGAGCTCTTCCCGTGACACCTGCAGCCAACTTCCGGTACGCAAATCAAAGATCGTCTATTTCTACAGAACTTCACGCTGAGGACTTTATATTACCTGCGCAAAGATTGTTATAAAAGATGGTAGAGTGAGTGCTCAGTTACTACACAGAAGACTGAAAACTTCAATCATTTTAAGACACTTCAAAATAATTTCTTTCCCATAATATTCCCTGTAGGTTCAAAATTTCTCATCCTCAGGGTCATAAAACAAATATTTGAACCTTACCCGTTTGACCCATAGCAGCTCGTAATCTTGACAAAAAGCAATGAAAACATTGCTGAAGAGCCACAAAAATACTCAAAATATCTTATATTTCTACTTTTTTTTTTCTAATTTTACATTGAACAAAAACACGAGTGTTAATTGATGGACCTACCTGACAAAGAAAAAATGGTGATGGTTTAAAAGTCAAATTTTCTTTCCCAAGATTTGGATAGCGGTGTTGTTTTCACATGAAGACAGTCATAAAGTCATCCTTGTTTCCATCGAGCCAAAAAGATCTTTATTTTGCCAAACAGATCAACATTTGTATAGCAAGAAGCATTCATTAGAGAAAACAACATTAGTAGCATCAGTGCTATCCATTAAAACAATTTAGCAATAAATCAGAAATGGCTATACAGAAGCCACAGACTTTCAACGGAAAAATCGAACATGCAATTGTTAGGATTTCTGACTTGAAAGAAATCAAATATGGCAGGAAAAAAAGGTATTACTCGTGCATGCAAGGTAATGTATAAGAAAACTGATAAATGATATGAATAATGCAACAAAAGTCACATTAGCAGGATGCTGCCGAGACATCCGAGTGGCGTCCAAGTTGGATAGACTCTTTTTGTGGCTGATGCGAATCGCTCAGAGGTCTTTGCCGCAGTCGGGGCAGAAGATGTCCTCTTTGGATGTCAGGAAACCCCGACCCACCAGAGACACGCAGCACTTTTTGCAGTTGAAGCAGTCGTTGTGCCATTGGCGCTCCTCAAACGAGATGTACTTACTGCCCCCGAGACCTGATGTTGGAAATTGGAAAGAGAAGTCTCATGATCTCCGTAATGCAATCATTTCTTAATTGATGGTGATTGGAGACACAGGATGCCCGGAGAAGCATATGATCCGGGCCGATGTTCGCTCTATTTTCAAGGTGTCGTTTGCATTATGCCGGACGGTGGGTTAGATCTGACTGGACCGCAGATCAGCACGAGGCTGACGATGTGCTTTGGGCAGCACTGAAATAAAAAGGGTTACTTTAAAACTTCTTCACCATAATTGTTTTATAGGCCAGGTCTTGCGGTCGAAAGTATGCTCAATTAAGAGAACAACTACAGGGTTCGTTGTTGTTCTATATTAAATTTTGATTCCGATCAATTGTACCAATTGTACCTTTGATGTTGTTTTTTTCCTTTTTCTCATTTGTTTTATTTCGGCAACCTTTTTAATGAGTTGAATATAGAGTTTGACTCACTCAAAGATCTTTTGGCTGTAATTAGTTTTGCAAAAATCTAATCAAATGTGTTGATTTCACATGTTTTGGCCTTCCAATCCAGTCAAAGCTTCATTCAGCCTGCAAAAATAGTTGGACATACGTTCAGGTGTTCTAGAGAGGCCTAAAAGTAAAAAAAAGTAGCTTCGATACAATTTATAACAAAACCATCACAGACTGTATTGGATGCATGAATAAGCATCTCCTTTTCTGGAAGTTTGAATACTTTGTGTATGGACAGTAATGGAAAAGATACAAAGACCTATGTTAAATATGTTAAATATGATACTAGGTAAGTTAGTTTTTCTTTATCCCCGCATCATAACCTGTCAAAATGACTAAATCATTCAAATAAATCCATGAAAAATTATGACTGCAATCTGAGTAACAGACAAGAGGGAAAAAATGCTGCAAAAGTGCTCATCAAAGTTGTACCTACAAGTTCTGAGTCGGATTTCAGCATCGGAAAGTAAAAGCCCAAAATCTATGACGCAAGCAAAAACGGAACATTTACCACTAATTGGGGTGGTGCAGTAGGCACACTTCTTAGCAAACATGTTGCAGAAGCACTCGAGGCAGTAGGCCAGGTCGTCCCGGGAGGTGAAGCGCTGGCCGGCCAGCTGCTGCTTGCAGCCGGTGCACACAAAGCACTGCTTGTGCCAGGGCTGGTCCCGGTAGCTCACCCCTCCAGTGGTGATGGGCTGCAAGAGACAGACAAGAGGGGGGGATCTCTTTAAGAAATAGACACAAAAAAAAGAAGAAGAATCTTGTTCTATTGTTGCACTTGAGAAATATCGAGGATATTCAGTGTGGAATGGATCCGTGATTTGAAAACATTCAGAGCATTGGAAAAATAAACAAATATGCCACACTTGTTAGCATTTATTTGAATGATTTAGCATCCAAAGGCTAGCTGGCAGAGTGCTAAGTAGCTGAAATTGTCACCAACTTGCAGATTTCATTTGTTGTGGTTACAGTGCCCTTAGATTTCTCATAAACCTAGTCTTGTATACCACGTGAAAGTAAATAAAAGCTATGATGCATTTTTCAAATGAGAAAAAGAAAGGTAAAAGGACTCAAAGGACTCAAATAGAGCTTTTCCAGTCAAACTGACCTCCCCAAGGACTTCACACTACAATTAAATCACCCATAAACACACTGGTGGACACGCTTGTAGGAAACTACATGTAGTTCAACCACATATCTATTAGAATAATTTTCTACTTCATGACTCTTTAAATGGCTGGAGGTGAAAAAGCAGCACAGTATCATTTTGGTTACGGTTAACAAGATACTTGAACTTCAGAGTTTCCTCGTTTGCTGGTCTCTACCTCGATGAGACTATTGGACATTGTCATTCTTGGTCATCTTTTCCTGTTTGTTGCCGACTTAGTCACGAGTGAGCATGATGACGGCCGCCTCACCTACAGGCTTCAAGCACAAAATACGCCTCCGCCGGCCCGTCCATCTGTTTCCAGCTCATTTCTGTTATGCATCAATCTTGTACGTCTGTTTCCCTCTTTCCTTATATCTAGTAATAGTTGAGTCATCACTATTTATTCAGATATTTTAGTTGTTTTTTTCTCAGCCCCTATAGTCACTGAACAAACACTGACTAACAACAAGACCAGATTTTAAGGAGAGAATGGTAGATATTAGACATGCATCCATAAAACGGAAGTCCTAAGACACCGATTAAAGAGTCTTTATTGATTTGTTCTGCCGACAAGCAAAGACAAGGGGTAATAGGCTACTCATCTCTTACCTTCTTGCACTGGACACACTGCAGAGCAAAGTGATTCTCATAGCAGTCCAGGCAGTAGTTGTTGGTGTCCTTCTTGACGAAGCTCATGGTGCCAATGGGGTGCTTGCAGTAGTTGCAGATGAAGCACTTCTCGTGCCAGCTGTTGCCCTTGTGCTCCATCTTTTTGGTGCCTGGATGTTGAAAGAAGCAGTCAGTGGGTCCATGAGAGGGCCATCAGAGCGGGGCGGCCTCGTCTTGTTTCCCCCCCTCACCTGGCATGATGGTCTTCAGACAGGCGTAGCACTTGGCGGAGTAGGTCTGGCAGTAGCAGTCGGTGCACATGAGCATGTCGTCCCTGGTGGCGAAGGGCTGGTCGGCCAGGGATCGGTTGCACTTGTTGCAGAGGAAGCAGTCGCTGTGCCAGTGGCGCTCCTTGTACGACAGGTCCTGCGGGGGGAAAGATTTGAATCGCGCCGAGTTGACGTTTAAAGTTCCAAGTCGACCAGAGCCGTGATTTGCGGGTATACGGAATCGTCTATTTAAAAATGATCTCACCTTGCTGGTGCAGCTGATGAGCTTCTTGCACACTTCGCAGTTGCTGGAAAACAGGGACTCGTAGCACTTGATGCAGTATGGGAATTCCTCCCTCATGATGTACTTCTGTCCGTACAAGGAGTCCTTACACTCCGTGCAGTCGTAGCGCTCCCCCATTTTCGGTCCGATCTCCTGGCTGAAACCTGGAGTCGGCCCAAAAAACGATGAATGAGCAACGAGCAAAAAAGAGCGTGGTAGTTATTGAATAAACATAGCCAATTGGTAGCGACCATAAAAATTGTACAGCTGATTGAATTTCCCCTTATAGCAGAGCTGATTCCTTTTCACAAAAGCGCCACAGTGCTACCTTAGTATCATGTGGTAAATATGAAAATTAATGACAACATGATACCTTCATGAACCTGCACTGGATACACTGTGCATCCATTCAAGGGGGCATAATTGAGGACTACATTCAACAAATTAGGCAGAGGAATGTACCAAACAGCCCCCAGAATGGGCTCACACTGTATAGTAAATTGTACTTTTTTAATGGACATGATGTGACTTGAAATCTGGTTTATCCCTCCACAAAAGACTCCGTGATTGGGTTGAAAATAGAGACTACCTTGATTTGGCTTGACGAAAGGACAATTTCAGTCACTTTCGCTGTCAGAAATGAATGGAATGTGCAAAAAATGGGCGAGGAACTGAAAGGGAAAATGTGTAATGAGGAGTCGATGTCAGCTGGAGCCGCATTATTCAATTTACAATATTTGATTAAGACATGGAAAAAAACGGGGGGGGAAAGAGTTACGCAACATCTAAAAACATTCTCAGGATGAAATTAAATCTTTTAACACAACTTGAAAGTCTTAATATGACTGAATTCAGGTGTGGCACACTTGATTTCAGCCCCAGCCAAGTTGATGATTAGAATTTTTTTACTTGTTATTTACTTTCACCTATTTTACGAGACATAGGCAAACACCTCTTGGTCCCTAAACCTCTCACAGAACATGGACACCTCTCATTTTTTTTCCTGAGGATTTACGGTGTTCCTTTGATTGTTCAAAGTCTGCGGAAACATAGATATTCTCTCTTTTTAAGCATAGCTTTAATGAGAATATGTATGCATTCCTGTATCAAATCTAGATTTCCATACATCTTAAACAGACTTCCATGTTTCCTTACATCTTGCTAAACATCCATCATCAACTCATATCTGCTCTCACCTCAGAAACCCTCTGCAGCCATAATTTTGTACTTGTAGCTTCCAAAATACATGTATAGTCTATGTACTCCTTTCAATATCTCCTTTGAAAACCGTTTATGGCTTCATAACCTTCTCCAAATCCTTTTATCTATGTCTAAAGTTGATCAAATCCTCACAAGACTTTAACTACCCTCCATGTATCTCTCTAAACCATTTATACTCTCTAAAGTCTTGAGGAGACATGCAATGCATCACTGATTGCTTCTTTTAGGGTGGTCCGATGCCCACTGTAGTCTTCTGTGCTCCCTTTATAACTTTTTATGAACCTTTGTCATCCATCAATCAGAACCCAATGCCTTTAAACTACCTTAGGAACCAATCATGTCCCATTTTATACCTTTATTGACAGAAAAAAGTCCCGCGATGGACTGTTCTTTAAGAGTATGAGGGTTTGGGGAATGATTTTTCTTCATCCCTTTTTTAAACTCTGCGCATTACTTGAAACCCACCATATATTCAGAAATCTGCCCTAAAGCCTGATGGTATGATTCTCTAACCTTACGCAAAGGCATGCCAATACCTCCTTGAATCCTTAAACTTTATAAGCAATCCACTTGCCCGTCCCTCACAGCTTTGCAAAAATCCACTTATATCCTCTATTAACCTTTTTGTACAATTGGAATATATCTTAAAAAAAAAAAAATTCTCTCCTTGTTCCTGCAATCTTTTTCTAAAAAGTCCTTGCAATTCAAAAGTAAAAAACCCAAACTTGGCGAGTGTCTCACGCTATCGCTCAGGCTGGATTGTCTTTACTGTGAAGTTACTCAAGAAGTTCAGATAAAATACAAAACCTCCAGAAAAACCTGGACTATATGCAGCTGAATCACTCCCAGAAAAAGGAGGATTGGATGATTTAAAGGATTTTTTTGTTTTTTACAAACACCAAGATTTGATATAGTGAAGAGAAATACAAATGAAAGTACATTTTAAGTCAAGATAGATAGACAAAGATCTCACCTGAGTGTCCGGGGAGCTGTCAGTACGCAGTCTGAGACCGGAGGTGTTCTGCTGATCAGTGTAGTCCATCTGCTTTATTAAATCAGAGCAAAATGTGACCAACACTGGAACCGGAGGGTGGAGAAAGTGGTGTGACCAGAGGGGGCAGGTCAGTTTATATTCAGACCACTATAAAATCCAGACAAACAGATGTAGAACCAAACAGATCTTTAGGGGGAAATGTTCAAAAAGGGAGCTCTTGGTGGCCTACTTATCAGACCGTACAAAAAGACTTTAATACTCCACATGCAAGGAACCTTTTCTTTATGTGAGATGAACAGTTTTCAATATACGTTTTTCTAAACATGCCGCATTAATAATTTTAACCATCCAACTCTTTTTCTTATGACCACAATCATGCACTTTTTTTTACTTGTCCCTTCTGCCTAGTTCAAATAAACCTGATGTTTTCATCTGTAATCTTAACAATTCGAAACTCTATCACCATCGAGTGGCCAAAAATCCCCACAAAGTCCATCCTGATAAATCTGAGCGATTGGGAAGCTAAAATATGAGATCGGTTGATCACATAGATCTCGATCGAGGGGGGGAAAAAAGTGTTAGCCTAGAGAACACAACAGCAAAATTCTGTTCCATGAAAAAGTTGAGGGTTCAGCTCACCTCGTCATGACCAGGAGGGGAAAATCCTGCATGACAGCCAAAATTGTTTTAGAAATGGAAGGGACACAGCAACAATATCGTTTAGAGGCTGCACATAAAGACTGAAAAAAGGAACATGGAATTGGTTTCAATTTCTCAGCGATGTGGAAAGACCTCATGCAACTTGTCTCAGTCACGTCTGGGAAGAAGAATGCAAATGTTAGAACGGCAAAAGTGCGACAGGGGTATCATCTATCCGCAGTCTTTTACGTGAGCATCAAAGGCAGGATTTACATATGTGATGCCGATTCCTGCTTTTGGCTTGTTCGCTCTCAACCTCCAAAAAGGTTATCTGCCGCCACCCACGTCCCGATGAAACGTCTTTATCTTTTCATTACGAGATTATGTCGAGCCTTAAAGCGCTTTTTGTTGGCCCGAACTGGCTCCCTGTGTCTCGGTGGGTTGTGGGGCAATGCGGAAATGTTGGAAATCCAATAAGGTGGAGGGTTCAACGGGATCAGATGACAGCACCTCAGATTGTTTGGAATGGTTTTTCAGCTCCGTGAGCCCTGAAGGCCGCATCTCAACACAATTTTCCCCAATTGGTCTGACAATAAACAGATCATCGGACCTGGCTGATATGCAGACTAAATCATCTTTAATGTTGCCAATCTTTGGTACTGTCAGTAACTTAATACATTATCTGAGGGGTGGCCCTACTGTACCGTATGAATGCCATTCTATCAGGCATCAGACATTAAATTCACTTGTGTAACTTGAATTCGCAGAAAGCTCTTGAATTCACGGAGCAAATGTGGCTCTGGTCATCACTTTAACCCCATAATGCCACATGTATCGTATATGACACACACTGTTCCTGAAAAATCTTTCGCATCTGAGACCTTTTTCATCATGTAATGGTAAAAACTTTGCTCAAAATCCTTTTGTGCACAGTCTGATATACCTGGTAAAAGCAGGCAAAAGACCACACAAGAAAAATTTGACTTATCGCGTGGTAATAAAAGATAAAAATTCAAAAAACAATTTCCAGATTTTGTTAAAGGGGCAAAGAAAGACTCAAATGAAGAAAATCTTATCTTATCTTTTCTTGGATCAGGCTTTGGAGGGTTAAAAAGTCTGGATGAAGACACAAAAAACTTTCAAGACATTTTCTGTCACTGGAAAAAAAAAAATCTAATCAAATGTTATTGGAAAATCTGAAAACAAATTAAAAAATTGGGAAACGTTACAGGTGGGACGTGCCGTCTGGCATCCAGTTGAGTGCAGTTCAGGCTTTGATTATCCAATTTGTGCAGTGGGGAGACTATTTCAATTTAACGGGGATGACACAGCACAGGACACATAAAGCAATGGAATAATTCCTGGAAAGGGCATTCTGATGAAACCCAAACGCTTCAACGTGAAGAAATTAACCGAAATTTGACGTGAATAAGACCCCTGTTCAGGAGTTTAGAAGGTAATAAACTGAACATGTCGACTGGGTTCAGACAACTTCGCTTCCACATCAGATGGGGTGGGAAGATGCTGACCTAGAATTGTGCGGGTCACAAGGTGTGTTTGGTAAAGGTAGTTAAGCATGAATGAGGTCGCTCAGCTTTGATTACCATTTCCCTGGCCATCGCACAACAAACCCCCTTCATGGCGTATTTAATTGTACAAACATCTACCCGTCCATTTAATGGAATTTAAGTGCTTATGTGTGCATGACAGAACCATTTTCACCACTTTAATTGAAGGAGATGGATGTATCGTTCAAATAAAGAACCGGAATGGGTGAAATTAAACAAACACCTTTCAACAGGAAACGCCTCGGGAGATTTAAGAAGGTGTAGATTTAAAAGATTCAGGAAAACCAAAACTGACTTTGGAGATCCACAGACTCTGCCAGCTTCCCCCGGGCTTAAGCTCAAGCGGAACACTGTCCCCGTTATCTGATGAATGGAAAAGGGGGGAAAATCTCGTGAGATTTCTCCGGTTCCTCCCGCAGAAGAAAAACAGGAACTAACGGGCTCGCTATCGGCACCCGAAGCTCATCTGTCACAGTGCGAGGGGCGGATTAGTGCGGCTCACGTCGTGGACCTGCTCATCTGTGAAGGAAGCATTAACGCTGAGCAAGTGCGCACATCTCTGGTCAAAGCTTGAGTTACAAACCAGTCACACGGTCGAGAGCTGTCACATATTCAGCAGAAACACAAGGAAAGTTTTTCCTTGCCTGTGTCGCCTAGTGCTTGCTCATGGTGGGAATTGTTGGGTTTCTGTAGTTAACTTCAGAGTAGGGTCTGACCTGCTCTGTTTGGAAAGTGCTGTGAGACAACTGTTGTTGTGATGTGGCGCTATATAAATAAAATTGAAAATAAAATTGAAGAAAGAAACCCAGTCTGTAGCTTTCCCCTTTAAATGTTTCCATCCATGAGATAGCTTCACTGAGTCTCACGTCCCAGCAGTGTTTTTGCCCTTTTCTACTTTTTTTTTTTCAGCAATTCGAAAGGAGGTGGTGAATTAATCTTCTAAAATCAACCAGAGCAGACACGGATCTCCTGACACTCAGCTGAGTTAACTGAGTTTACGCGGAGGATATCAATCCACTCATCGGTCACCTCGTTTCCCTTCCTCATCGCCTCATTAGTCAGATATAAAGAGGACTGAATGGACAGAAAACCGCTTTATTTTGTGACTTTTTTCTCCAAAACAGGGGACTCAATCCTCCTCATGCACACATAATTATCCCACTGGTGAACCGAAGCAGGCCACACTATTTTGCAAAACCTGAGTACCAGGAAGATAAATTAGCAGAGTCACAAGATGACACACCCACAAGACACATGAGACGTTTTCCAAGTAAAAGGGTTTGAACCTTTCTGGAGTATTAACGTTAGCAAATGGAGGAGAAAGTATGTCTGAAAAATGTGTGATTTTCAAAGCACATTTGTTGAGCTTTAATGTTTGATTTATTTGTACGCTGGTGTCACATCTCAGGCACCAAATGGGAGCTACCTAACCGCCTCTAGCCTTTTCCCGGAAACCGAACGGGGCCGTTTGAGGTGAGGGAGGGCTTGGTTTTTCGGAAATTAGTTTAGGAAAGTTTTCTGGAAAACCACCTTTGCTGTTTTTATTTTGGTGTTATTGTACAGCAGCCACCCCGAGCCACGCGGTCCCTCTAATCGTTTTAAGCTTCTCTCATGCTCTTGCCAGGACATTTCTTTCTTTTTTGTATTTTGACTGCTTTTCCATATCAGGACAAATATTGTCAATACGATGTTCAGATGTGCTGACTCATAAGAAACTAAAATAGTAATCTATTATCAGCAGTAGCACAAACAAAGCCATTCACCCCCAATGAGAGTACCACATACACACACACACATAAAAAATAAATAATAATAAAATTAAAAAAATAAAAAATAAAATATATATATATTTATTTTTTAAGGGTTAGGGTTAGAGGGTTAATGGAATCAATAATGGAATTTGTCCTGGGTAAAACCAAAGATATCTTATCTCTGCACTTAGTTTGCTAATTTTCTGCTCCTCTGAGAAATATTTCAAGATCAGATTAGCTTTCACAGCCGTGTACATACACATAATCGTTTCAGACTGCCTGTTTTTTTGTGTCTGAATGTTTCATACAGACATTTTGTGCCTTTAATCTGCTCAGTAACAGATTTCTTTCTAGCAGCAAGTTCATGTTGAGCAGAGAAAGAAAGAAAAACAGCACAGAATGGACAAAGCAAATCCTTTTTCCAAACACTGTTATACGTAGCTGTTTTGAATTATTAATGGAGACAAAAAGAATCAGTACAATCCAAATTTTGACAAATCCCCAAAAAGGAAAGTTGATTCAATTTTCAAATTCAGCGAGTAGGCCGAGACAACCTCTATAACCGAGATGCACAGATATGCCCACATAGCCAAAGAAATTCACCTCAGTAAAGCGATTTTCAAGTTATCAAGTAGGTTCATTTCAATCTGGAACTGCCTTAAATGTGATGAAAAGAAAACCTTAGGCCACAAAAGTTCCAATGGTGGTTTAACTGGTAAAAGTTCTTTGTCAATGTAAAAAAAAAAAAGCTGATGTTTAAACTGCTGAGTAATTTTGTGTAGCATTTACCAACGTAAGCAAAAAATAGGGCAAATGGCACCGGGCCAAGAACTGACTGATTACAATCGTTCAGATGTTGAAGCACAGTAACAAACATTTACTAAAAGACAGCTTTTTGTGAGATATGATGCGGACCACGTAACAGCCCTGACAACAGGACCAGAAAAAGCCCGTTGGACCCAACAAGTATGATGGAATCTCCCTGTTTAGACTCCGCAAACTGAAAAAGAAAAAATAGGTTTAAAAAATTTGAAGATACGATCAGCTAAATCTTCTCTTAGTTAGATAACGGCATGGGTTTTACGTGAGGGCTTCTCCACACGTGGCCTCGAAATAAAACGTAATCTCTAAAAAATGGATAAACAGCCACGTAATTGCCCAAAAGTTTGACGTTTCCCTGAAGGAAAAGTCCCCTCAGAGCCTGACAGCGGAATGCTGGGGTGTTTTATGGGCTAAAAACAATCTGATTTGGTTTGACTAGACTTTAGAGCCCCAGTCACAGACAGATCAGATGACACAGTGTGTCCAGTTTAAAGACCATATGTTCTTCATTTCATCCTCATGCCACCATTGTATTTCCTCTGCGGCTTTGCTGTCCGTTTCCATGCAGCCTTCATTAGGCGCTGGCTTTTTCTCATCATCTCTTTGAATTGAGAGGGTCGTCGTTTGTCATATGATGACAGTTAATTAAGTTAAATAATAAATGGAATACTTTATTATGAGGGAGCTTCTACAGAAAAAAAAAATAAGAAGCCCGTCGGTAATCTGACAGGGATGAGGAGCTTCATTTGGTCCTCTGCCTGCCGTCATGTAAAAGCTTAACAGCGCCCACTCCCCTGCAAATAAAAATTCCACGTGTGTAAGCCACACGGAGGCGGGAAATTTTGAGTGTTAAAAGTAATTACTTCCCCGCTGTTTTTTTTTATCCTGATGGAATTCAATTTTGTGCATGTGAGGGTTACAGTTGTTGCACAAAGAAGGACAAAATGTTCATCTATTGGAAAGGTTCAAATTGCTCCGGCCTTGTATCGGCGCACATTGTGTAAATCTAACAGGATAATCTAATAGCAGGAGATGGATGAGGGATCATGTGCCCTCGAGAATATCTAAATCCGAAAGCACCCCTGGAGGTTGTTGAGACAAAAACTAATTAAGCCCAGAGTCAGAAGATGCCTGTTTCAGGAACAGTTCTTGTTTGATCTGTTTGAAAGATGTGAATCATGAATAGTTGCGTTGTGAAAGGATTGCTGGGCATAATCTTTAATTAATCCTTGAAATGTAAAATTACATAACTTATTCAGAGGAACTTGGTGAAAATGCCCCTTGACATTTATCCATGAAAGCCAAAAAGGGGCGAATCTGGAATTTTTTAAAAACATTACTGCTCCCTCGTGGCTGTAACGAGCATGACAAAACTGTGCACGTTGCATTCAAATTTTACATCCAGTATTTCCAGAATCACTTTTGTGAGTTTCTATTCTTTTAAAAACACACAAGTACTCTTTGAAAAAAAAACGCATTAATTGCAAGCTAAGCATTCCTGTCCCGTTAGCTGTCATAAAAACATTATTAATGCAAATATGCGAAACTTTTAATGTGGACAGCAGCCACATGAACTTGAATATAGTTTTTTGTTGTTGTTTTTCGTAGTTTTTCAGGGAGTATTCTGTCATTTAACTTTACGTCGTTATTGGTTTTAACTTGAAATGTTCAAACAGGAAGTGCGAGTTTTTTTTCTTCTTAATGTAATGCGGAAGTTTTCTATTACTTCTTGGTTTCTGCTGGGAAACATGAGTGAGATGTGCGTCGAACCTTCGGGAGCGAAGCCAGCGTTTGACTCCCGTTGAAAAACATGGAGGACGGCCCGGTGCCCGGACGGAACCCGGACTGGATGGCTCGTATCCCGGATGTGCTGAGGGATGTCCCGCTATGCGACCTGGCCATCCCCGGTACGACGGCAGGGGAAGGGGAGAAGGGGGGGGTTAAGACACAAACCAATAAACACAACAACACAAACAAGCCTTATAACATCGTTTACTTGTGTGTTGTACCGTGTGTATGGCTCCAGGGAGCCATGACAGCATGTCCTTCTGCCTGGACGTCTCCTCTCCGGTGGTGGGCTCGGAGTCCTGTCTCCTCAGACTCACCGACCGGCTGCTTCCCTGCCTCACGCGACCCTGCGTTTACCGCTGGGCTACCACACAGGTACCACAAGCTCCCTTTTTTTTTTTTTTTTTTTTTTTAAACACATTTTTTAAAAACTTGTTTAAACTTATCAAACCCGAAAAAGTACACCCTGAAAGAATTATCCGAGTATTTGCCCTATTTTTACTTTTTATTTCAGTAAAAAAAAAAAAGGGGCATTCCAACTGTCACGTGACAAAGACTAGCATGCAGGGATGTTTTTAAAAAAAATCTTTTTTAAAAGCTTGTTTAAACATCTCACACACGAAAAAGTACACACTAAAAGAATTATCCAAGTATATCGCCTCTTTTTACGTTTTATTTCTGTCAAAAAAACGGGGCATTCCAACTGTCACGTGACAAAAACTAGCATGCAGGGATTTTTATTTTTTTTTAACAATTTTTTTAAAGCTTGTTTAAACATCTCAAACACAAAAAAGTACACATTAAAATAATTAGCCGAGTATATCGCCTCTTTTCACGTTTTATGTCATTCCGAAAACATGGCATTCCAACTGTCACGTGAAGGGATTTTTTAATTTATTTTTTCCATGAGCTTACAATCATGTGACAATACCAGGAAACCAAACAATCACCTGATTCTAACCAGGGCTAAAAATAAAAACAGGTCAGTACAAACTCAGAGGAGCAGCACTTACAAAAAAACCAAACAACTTCCATCATGAATGACTGCCCCTGGTAGCATAATTCAAAGTTATCATGGCTAATGAAGACATAGTTTTTTTTTTTTTAACATTTCCGTCAATCTCCTCTTTTCTTTTTCTCCTGTTTCCATCTGTCTTTGCAGCAGTCAGTCCTCAGTGACCAGTGTGAGCTTGGCGTCCGGTTCCTGGACCTGCGAATTGCTAAGAAGCCCACAGGGGGCGACAAACTGTTCTTCGCTCATGGCATCTACACCTTGATGACGGTGAAGGTGTGAGAACCAAACGGAACAAAATAGGTCGAGAGTCGATTGTTTTTTTTACGTGGCTCTTAGCTCACCCGTTTATCCGTGCGCAGGAGGCGCTGCGCGAACTGGCGCGCTGGCTGGACGCTCATCCCAAAGAGGTCGTCATCGTGGCCTGTTCGCACTTTGATTCTCTGACCGACGCTGATCACAGCCTTCTGGTGGAGTTCATCATTTCCCTCTTCGGAAAGAAGCTGTGTTCTTCCAAGGTGAGCGCACTTTCATTAAAGAAGGATTTGGGGACATCTAGTGGTGAAGTTGCAGATTGCAACCAAAGTTCTATTTCATTTAGTCTCGATTAGAATTTTATCTTTTGTGTTATTGTTTTTATAGATCCCAGCTGAAACCACAGAATGACTGTTAAATTAGCCGTTTAATGTCTGTGTGTGCAGGAAATTCCCTCTCTGCGCTCCTGTTGGTCCAGAGGTCAGCAGATCATCGTTTCCTATGACAATAAGCAAATGGTGGAACGCCACCCTGAACTGTGGGATAAGATACCTTACCGGTAAATTTGCACCAAGCTCGAGTAAATATGTTCTCTGTTCTTGCTATTCGAGTGTGAATCTGATCACGGTTTTTTAAGTTTATCAAAGAGCTTAACCTACTAGAGATAATCAGGCAGTTTATTTTTTTATTTTTTCTTCTATCCGGCCACAGGTATGCAAACAGCCCAGACCCAAAGAAAGTGATCGCTTATCTGGAGGCGCAGAAGACCGAAGGAAGACCAGGTGCATACCCAATGAAATCTGGAGCGATGATTTTGAAGAGGCGGAGTAAAGCACTTTTCGTAAAGCCTGGTTATCTTTGTGCTTTTCAGATGGCTTTTATGTCTGCGGCCTGAACCTGACGGAGCACGCGCCCTACATCTTCCTCCATCCCGGCCAGAGCATGAGGCGGATAACGGTGGAGGCCCTGTCAATCCTGCTGGGCTGGACGGCCCGGCAGCAGCCCGGGCCCAGAGGGGGCGGAGTCAACATCATCTGCTGCGACTTCGTGGGGCTCAGTCAATTCTGCTCAACAGTGATCGGCCTGAATTACAAAACGCCGGGCGGAGGGCACCCAACAGGCAGAACTCCAGGGGCGTCTTCCTCAGCCGAGGTCGGAACGAGACGATAGCAGGGTGGGAAAACCGACCAGTACGGAGCGGTTTCAAGTATCTGCATCGGTGATACTTTGCCAGTATTTACCTGGTATCGGATCGATACCAAAACTCCACTGGGTTTTGATTTGCTTCCATCAAGTGTTTTTAACCTGCATAATTACCAGGCTGCATTTTTCCCCCTTGAGTTCATGGACATTCACAAAAAAACTAAAAGTTGCTGTTATGCAAAAAGTTGCACAGACTTGTATCTATTATGATCTCATATTGACAAAAGAAATATTGTAGATATTACATTTTGAAGTCTTATCAAGCGATGTATTTTTAAAAATGTTTTTAAAGGCTCTGATGACGGCTATTCAAATAACAAAAAAAGTTTAAAAGCCTGCTGAGTAAGCCTTAAATAGTTTTTGTTCATATGTATATTAATGTAATTCATCTTTTTTTTTTTTTTTCACTTTACACAATGTGTTTTTCCTATCTTACCATTTGTCTTTTGATGTTTTACCCAACTTGTTTTCTAATTTTTTCTGAAATAATCTACATTTCTTTTTACTACTTTGTCCCTGTTTTTGACATGTTTACAGTAAATGCTGTATTAACTAATGCAGTCTTTTCTGCAATGAGTATCTCTTGCACCACTCGGTGCTTTCTGTTCACCTTTTTTAAGACTGGTGACTAAACTTTAGGTGCATTTCTGTTTCCTGCTGGGCTGGACTCTGTACATAAGCCAAACTTTTGCGCTAAAAGGGTACTAATAAGGTGTGTTATGTTTTTTTAAAGCTTTTTTACTGTAATGAATTGGAATCAACCAGGCTTGCTCTAATATAAAAAAGCATACCCCAAATTCTTGTGCTGAGATATATTTGAAGTGTTCATGCCAGATTGGGTGGATAGATCGTCTAACCAAAGACCACAAACTCATCTTCACTCGTTTGATGGCTCAGTTGGATAGTAATAGACAGATAGTAAAGACATGAGAGACCAGAATAGCCACCGTTGGGCCAATCAGAGTAGAGACAACATTTACCACAAAAGTAAAAAAGTCACATTGTGGTGGTTTACTTACGCTTGATGTCCTGTAACAGCTCTTCCAATCCAGGATTTAACCAACCAAAGCGGCGTGGGCGGGCAGGAGCGAGAACAGAGATGACACGGAGGCTCTCGCCGGCTGTCAGTTTAACACACAATCACATTCCCCACACGAGCTTTATTCAACCAGATGCAAGATGATTTCATTCTCACGTGACAGAGAAGACTGATTACAACCGCTCGCGGTGACCGCAGGAAGAGGCGGAAAAATTTCACGGCAGAATCCTTTTTGGACTTTCGAGTCATGCCGGTTTGTGACAGTATCACAAGATAAATCAAAGATAGAGTAAAAAAAACAAAGTCAAGAAGCATTGGGTTATGGTGAAGAAGACAATAAATATCTATTACTTGTTATAAAAAAACAAAATCCAAATGAAAAAAACTCCCTCGGGGCAAAGTGAAAGCGATGTTACTCAAGTAATCAAGTGGGAGTTACAGAAAACTAAAGGAAGATGTTGAAAACATTTTAAAAGAAAATACATTTGCTCTCACACTCTGAATATATCATAAGCATCAGAATATTCCATCCAGTATTCGAAGACCTCATTTGAGGGTTACCGCTACTTCCTTCTCAACACTTACAGTTTCCACACAGGCCAAGTCGGACCGGCCGCTGATTGGCCAGGGTGTCACGTGACTTGATGAGCCACGGAAGCCACTCCCCTTCCGAGAATCCCGCCCGTTTTTAAAAAATGCTTCGACAAACAAGCATGAATGAATCGTTTCCATGTAAATTCTGAGCACGTGAACCGACGCCGAGGTTCAGTCGCTATTTTGCTTCCTTCATTATCGTTTCACGTTTGTGTCGAATACAACTGACGAGTGAGGTGTCTTGGTTCAATAAATGTCAGAGATGGACAACGGGAGACACCTTTCATACATCACCTGAGAAACCTTCGGTTTGAGCATTCATCCGCCTGCACTCGCACACAGTATGTCCATCCCACACAGTGAACACTCTCAATGCTCACAGAATCGTGACTTAAAACGATGCTTGACTCAAAACGTCCGACAAATCGCCCAATAGCTGTCACCTTGTGAAGAAAAAAAAAAAAGAAGCAGCGGGAACCCTCAAACCAAGGCTTCGTTCGTCATTCCGTTCTCTCGGCTCTGGGAGCGAGAAGGCATTTCTCTTTTCCCACCAAATGTGAAACAGCCTGAACGCAGTTTCAACAGTTTCTTTGTGGCAGCTCAGACATCAGCTCTACGCTGCACATCGAGACGGACAGTATTGAAATGATTTGACGCCGTTCACGTTAAAGTTACTGTTATGTGCCCCATTTCCTACAGCAGGACAAAAAAAAGAGTTTGAAATCTAAAACAACTTGGAAATTCCAAAAATAGTAATACAATTAACCTAATTTTTTTCAAAAGCGCTTTTCTTAATGAGACAAGACGGAGAAACACCAGCCAGAGCAACGGCAGACTCCACCAAATGTCGAGGAAAAAAAAACGTTTAAATACTTTTGAAAGATTCAGCCGTCCAGACTGAACCCGTCCAACTTAAATTCTTTTTCACCTTCTCAAAGTTTGCCTAAAGACTTAGTAGGTAGACTCCCAAACAAACACAAAAGACACAAACTGAAAAGCTGCATCTCCAGGGATCTCAAGAGCGAGTTTGCGAAGGTCGCCCGAGCCGACTATGGGTTCAAACTTGTGGAAGGATCCTTTGTAGCACCATATAAGAGGGGCAAGCAGACTTATACCGATAATTCATTAGAGAAATCCTATTTACAGAGCACCGCAAAAGGGTATGAGGACAGAGCAGAGTGCGCTCGGAATGCGTGCTGTTTGTCCAGTGGTTATGCGTCTATCTCTTGGTGTGCCCGATGTAGGAGTTCTCCATGCAAAGCACCACCAAAGAGGACGAGCAGCTGATGGAGTTCTGCGACGCCAGGCTCTCCAGGGATGACGCCGTGCCGTACGCGTCCCGACTGGCCACGCGCCACCCGTCGCAGATCTTGTCCGCCTGGTGCTGACCGCTGCTGGACGACCCGTGCCACAGCATCTTTTCGGGCCTCGAGAGACAAAGACGCGACATTTCCGTGGGACGGTTTCCCCAAAGACAACTTACCGCGGCGGCTAAAGGACTCTTAGGCTCAGGGTGGTACGCCGGTGACTCACCAGGTGTCGTCTCTGAGGACGTCCTTGCCGTCAAAGGAGTAGATGGAGACGCTGTCCTTCATTCTGCCGTTGTTAAAGATGCCGTTCCAGTTGTCATAGAGAACCTCGTCCTGCATTGGGTGAAAGCAGACGACGCGAGATGGAGTGGATGACCAAAACAATCGCAAGCTCTGCGAGTTTCGGACGATCCGATGAGGCCAACTGCCTCCCCGTTATCTGCGTTCAGGTTCCTCACCTTCAGGTTGACTATTTGAAGATTGTCCCTATCGTTCTTGCGAACGATGCTGTAGAGATCCTGAAGCCTAGAAGACAAGAAGGCACGGAAAGTACCCTTCATGCCGATGGCCTGCGCCTGGGTGAAGCACATGAAATCTGCCCCTCGAATGCCCCTCATGGCACCGGTCTGCGGGCTGTTCAGCGCAATCAGGTGTAGCTGCGCGGAAAGAAAAAGCTCACGTTAAACCTTCAACACCACCACCAGCCGGAGTCGTAAAAACGGTCGTAAGGCAGCCGCCCTTACAGCTGGCCCTGAAGCGTGGCTGTGGACTGGAGCTCTGGGTGGAGTCGACGGTCTCCGCTGTGGTGTGACCGGGACAACGAAGCGACCGTCCGGTTGGTTTAAGCGATCCGTGTAGCTCGGAAACCGGGGATCGGCCGGCGAAGGGTACCGGGGGTCCGGCTGGTATCGCGTGTCAGGATTGTATCGTGGGTCAGGGTAGTAGCGGGGATCGGTGTGGGTTTGGTCACGCGTGTCTGGCTGCGAAGCGGTCCAGTCCGGATTCTCGGCCGGCCGCTCTGAACGCCGGTCTGGGGAGTACGGGACGACCGGAGGCGGCTCCACAGCAGCAACGCCATTACCCTGAAACTCAACATATTATATGACGTGACATGTATGTTTTCAGAAGAGAGAAAACAAACAAAAAAAAAGCAAGAACTTTCCACTCACGTCCACATTTGGTAGAGCGATGTAGCTCCCAAGCTGAAGGAGCAAAGCAGAGATCGACATCATTATATTAAATCTGTTTTTTATTTTGGGCGATTTAGGATTAAAATTAGTCAAACGCTTCACCTGGACTTGACGAACTCCATCTCGGACTCGTAGGTAGAGGTCTGTTTGGTCTATAATGTACACCAGAGAGCCTTCAGGTTGTCTCCTTGCTGTGGCTGTCATGGTTTCATAAGACCTCAACACAGTGACCTAAAAACACAAAAACGCAAAGATTAGCTTGCTGTGAATTCCAGCATTCAACATCCAATTAAAAAAAAAAATCATGTTGGTTTTTAAGGCCACCCTGAGAGATGTGTTAATTTCAACAAAGTTTGCAAAGATTAGCCATGACGTGGCTCTTGTTTTTATACCTAAATAGAAATCTGCACACGTTACATGTCCACTGTTTTTACGTACTGACAAGAATAAATAAAAGAAGTGAAACATCACAAAGCGGGTGCTAAAGTAAATTTTCGGGATGAGAGTTACACCCTAATAAATTATTAAAGAAAACTACACAAAGCAGCAGACTGTTTTGGTCCATTTTAAATATTTGCTCACCCCTGAGGTGAGCCCTGGTAGTCCTGGAGCTCCAGGTGGTCCTGGTGGTCCAGGAATGCTGATGGCTGCCATTTAAACAGAGTGAAATTAGCTTTGATTCAATTGCAAAAGACAAATTGACGATTTTACTACACAGAGAGATTGCAAATGAGCCAGCTCCACTTTTCTAAGGCTTTAAAGATTTCCCCTCTCGGTTCTTAGTCTTCTGTGAGACCTCAACATAACCTGTACCGACAGTCTTTTAATGGTGCTAGAAATCTTAACAAATTTTAGCTAAGAAGAGGGTTCACAGTCAAACAAAAGCCTCACATTTAATGGACTTTTTGACAAACAACTCATTTATTGCAATAACTTTAAAACACATTTCCTGTTGAAAACATCAGTAGTTCTTCATTTGGGATCTGTCCTGTCAATAATGATTTTTTTTACATGACTCACTAGGTATGTCCCTGTAAGACCCCGGTTGGCCAGGTCCAGGCGGTCCTGGTGGTCCCGGTTGCCCCGGTTGCCCTGGTCTGCCATCGTAGCCTCTTCCGGGTGGCCCGGGCGGCCCCTGAGGGCCTGGGGGGCCCACAACAGATTCTCCTCTGGGGCCCTGTGAAATAGAAATGCTCCCTTTTTAAAAGTTAAGCCCCTTTTTAAAAGTTAAGTTTACGTGTTGAATTGAGGGGGGTATAGATCTTTACTGGAGGTCCTGGGGCTCCAACTCCACTCCCACCGTAACGGGGGTCATAATATCCTCCGCCTGGTTCTCCTTTTTCTCCTTTCAAACCTTCATCGCCTTTTAGCTGATTCTGGGTGGACAAAAAAATACCCCAAAGTAAAACAGGAAGCACAAAATAGAAAAACAACAGGAAAACAAATGTTTTTTTTAAATGTTTTTTCTTAAAATAAGACCCAATGAGGCCTTAACTACGGGGAGAGGTTTACCTTTAAGGTGTAATAGTCGATGTTTGATCCAAAACCTGGTTTGAAAAAGGTAATTTGTCATTTCTCAGCAAACACCCTTAAAAAGGACTATCTTTTGTGCATTAATTTGGATTACCTGGAATTTCCAAATGCCCAGGTGGCCCACGGTCAC